GATATATTATAGGCAAAATGCCTGAGCACGAACATGTAAAGATGGGGAAATAAAAATAAAATAATAATGCCAGGCCGTGCAACTTGTTGCAGTGTTTTCCACGAGGCAAGCGGGAAGTTAACTGCATGGAAAAGGCGTCTATCTCTTTAGAATCCGAAAACCAGTTTTATTCTAACCACAATGTAAAATAATTATAAACCTAAGTACATGAAAAATGGGGTTAGATATGTTTTATTTTTGGTGAATGTGAAGAATAAGGAACAGGAAAGTTGAACTATAACTTAAAACAGGATAAAACTTTATTCCAAGTTATAGAGATCTTAAGATCTTAAGTTTTCTAATTCTTTTAACTAAAAACTTAAGAGCATTATTAATTTTCAAATGGAAAACTCTTCGAAAAACATTGTGATCTTTACTTATTTAGATACAACTTTTGGTAATATAAACTATGTTTTATTTGCACTTTATAGGAAAACCAAAGGCATATTAAATTAAATTGAAATGCAATTAAATATTTAATTTCATTAAAATTTCATTTCACATGGCTTTTATAAATTCTTAATTATTAGAAAGGAAATATTTAAGAAATTCTCAAATTCTCAGCTCTTCCCGAAGCTTTTTGAGTTTGTTTTTCTAGAAATTTGTCTCTTGTTTCTATTTATCTATCTATATCTTTGGGACTTGTTGTTGTTTCTTCCATTTGTTTATAATTTCGATAAGAGAATTTGTTTAGTATTGATTATGTTTATGATTGCTTATTTTTATGAATGATTGTCTCAACTTCCTGTGTGTTTATGTCTGGTTGGAAATTTCTTTTGTTTATCTAAAGTTTGCTTAGAAATACTGCTGAGAAAGAGTTTTTATAGCTCAATAATAATTCAAGAAGAAAATCAATAGGTTTTTTTAAGTTCTTTAAAAATGTATAATGTTATTTTAATAAATTTTACAAAATGAAAAGAACAAATTTACTACTTTTACTCCACTTTTAGACACCTTTATCAAAGTTCTTTCGTCTTGCATTTGGTTAGAGTAAAACTCCTTATCAAAGATAATATTCAAGTGTCGCCACCTCATTTTACATTATCTATTGGAGAGTTTTCTGAAAAAACTACTCTTGGCTTCCAATGTCGTTCTTGGAGATAGTATTTCCGTATTCCTCTGATAAGACAGCCAATTTCTCACTGCATTTTTGATAGCATTTCTGATAAGACTGTCGCATTGCATCATCGATAAGAAGCTAGATTAAATCAAGAATAATAATAATAATAATATTGACAAAAGCCAGTCGTGTGACTAAGTGCGTTGAATCATAACTAAGATATATACTTATATACACACTTTTTGTTTTTTATTGTGTCTGTGTTTATTTAGCGGTGATATGTTCCTCAAATTACGAATAATCGGTAGAAAAAACTGTGAACAGTGCAAAAACGTCAATGAAAAGGCAAACAACAATAATAAAAACTAACAAAAAGGAGAATAAATAACAAATTATAAATAAATATTGAATAATTATTAATAACTATTAATTAATAAATAACAAGCAGTGGAGCAAGTGTGCTTCCAGCCAAAAAGCAAAGACCAAAGATTGGAAAATGTTCGATGTGCCGCCCAAGTGCCCGGCATTGGCCACCAAGTTGGGCGGCCTCTTTGGGTGGCGACACACCTACAAGGTGGCTGCCAAGCACGAGGGGATTCCCCATGGTCAGCTCCACAAGTCCTATTCCCTCACCCTGCCCAAGAGGCCGCCCTCGCCCTCGGCCTATTCGTGTGTTAAGGTAAAGATATATCAACCGAAGATGCATCCATAAAAGATATTCAAAAGATATATACACTGGGAGAAAACCAAGGCTCTATTAATTATTATTTTATTAATTTATTAAGTTTATTTTAATGGGTTTATGTGAAATATGGAAGATTACTAAAGGAGTCTTAATAATGTTTACCTCTCAGTTATGAAATCCATTTCCCTCATATCATATATCATAGAGTTGGAAATTCTTGTATATACTTTTCATACACGATAAACATTTCTAATTGATAAACTTTGATTATGTCTCACATTTTTCCCTGTGCTTAGATATATATTTATATACATATATATATGACAAATCCAATAACAATCTCTTTTGGCATTCCTCCGGTTCGTTGCCAAGTCCCACACGACGACGACACTTGTTAGTTGTTCAACTGCCACGCCCACATTTTTGATCGTTTTTCTTTTCTTTTTATATATATATATGATATATGAGAACGAGATCGTTGTCGGATCGTTGCCGCATAATTTCCATTGACAAATGACCATAAAGAAATATAATCAAAGAGGTACAGTGATGTCAAGTTGATGAATTTTAAAGGTATACAAAAAAATGAATACAGATGAATATATGGAGAATGAATATAAATAATAAATCTAAAATATTAAAGCCACAACAGCTGTAGCTTAATTTATAATTAAATATACAGCGTACAAATAAATAAATAAATAAAATAATGAAAACAAAATAATAAATGTAGAGAGTAGGAAGTGAGAAATATAAAATTTATGCAAGAGTGTTGCATATATTATAATAATATTTTAAAATTAATCAGAAACAAGAAAACTAGTACAAATTTATTTTTAAAACCCCATTATTATATAAAAATATATGATATATTAGTTTCTTAAAAACCCCAATAAATTCCTATACCTTTTTAAGCCATTTTCGATCCACTGTATTGGCCAAAACTGCATTCTTCGTGGCAAAATCACGATTTTCGATGCTGCAAACGCTATAGAATGTTTGAATGAATGTGCGCTCTTTGACCCACAAAAACCAGCAAACAACAACAACAAACACCACCAAAAACACCAACAAACACACCAACAAACAAAACCATGTGAAGAAACAAACCAAAACGAAATAAACGAAGGAGAAGCGAAAAATAGCCGAAATTATTGCGCCAAGTTGACGTTCGACGTTCCAGTTCTGCAGCCTCGTCTCAGTCGTTTAAGCCTCCAACGCTTTTGACTGGTTTTATTTGGGCTTCTTTTTTTGTATTTTATTTAAGCCATGATGCAATTGTTTTGTTTTTTATGCACTGCACAAAAAAATAAACAATCTTCTGTGTTGTAAACTTAATTAAAACGTTAAGTTGAGAAAGAGGATAGGAGGAGCTTAAAAGAATCTTAAAAACAAAGTTTTAAAGAAGAAAATTGATATATATTCATAGATTAATATATCGACTAGAGTAGTCAGATTTTTATAAAATTGTACACAAAATTCTAGTTTAATATATAATGGATATATACCAAATTTGATCAAAATCTGTTGAGAACTAAAAAAGTTATAATTTATTTTCTTAAACTTTCCCTATTGTTCCTATGGCAGCTATATATATGTATATATATATTCCACCGATTCGCCATGCTCCGACTTATATACTAGTAAAATTAGATAGAAGAAGAACCCCATAGTTTCATTGAAATAGCTTAAATTTGTTCCTAAACAAATCTCGCACGTCTGTACTTATGATTCCCAACTTGTTCTAACTTCCCCGGAACGAAGTGGCTTCTATCAGCAAGGTCTCAGATATGTGTTGTGTTACAAAGTTGCAAGTCATTGTTTATAAGTGTTCAAAATTAGTAACTACTGATCATACTTACATACTTACTGGTCATAGATACTTACTGATCATACTAACTTACTGGCCATAGTTACTTAGGTTTCAGAGTTAATCAGTGATCATATTTATTTACTGATCATAGTTGCTTAATGTTCATTGATACTTACTGTTCAGAGTTAATTGGTAATCATAGTAACTTAGTGTTCAGAGTTACTTACTGCTCATAGTTACTTGCGCACATTTGTGCTTATGATTCCCAACTAGTTCTAACATCCCTGGAACGAAGTGGCTTCTACCAACCTGGTCTTAGATATGTGTTGTGTTCCAAAAGTTGCAAGTCATTGTTTACTAGTGTTCAAAGTTAGTAAGTGATCATACATACATACTGGCCATAGATACTTACTGATCATACTTACTTACTGGTCATAGATACTTACTGTTCAGAGTTAATTACTGATCATATTTACTTACTGATCATAGTTACTTAATGTTGATTGCTACTTACTGATCAGAGTTACTTAATGCTTATAGATACTTAGTGATCAGAGTTACTCACTGGTTATAGATACTTAGTGATCAGAGTTACTTACTGATTTTTATTATATATTTATTTTTTCTATGATTGTTTCTTCTTTAAGAAATATTTTCTAATATTATTATTGATAACTATCTCTAGTTCCCATACTATTTCCTCTCTGCACATATTTGTTGCTAGTGTCCGGCATTTGGCATTTTGGTTGTGGAATCCATTGGAATGCCAAAGGCAACGCCAGCTCCTTGCCTCGAAAACACTGCAATTTGGGGCACTGGAGGTCGAAGCGATCTCTGGCTTATTTGGGAACTCGATCAGAGAGTTCAAGTTGAGCCCACGTGAGGAGAGATGGAGGGATTTGGATTTGGATTCATAGATTCACAGATTCGGACACCGAAGTGACTCAACACGTAGAGTGATTGCTCTATGAGGAAGCAGCAACACCAGCAACAGATGCTGTTGCAGATGCCATGAGGATGATGTGCTGTGAAAAGCAACTCCACGAGACGATGCGTCTCCAAGACTGAGAAAAGATTGCAGATATCAACGAGGAGGAGGAGGAGGAGGAGGAGATGGAGGAGGAGCTGGAATTGTGTGAGCTGTTGGGCAAGACTTCCGCGCCACATGGTCTCAAATTAATGGAGAGATGGAGGTCCATGGGTTTATCTTTATAGGAAGTCAAGAAGGGATTTTCATAGTAATTTTTTAAGGGGATAGATAGATACAAAGATAGTGATATATTTCATTAATGTATACCGTTTATTAAATCCCATTCTTTATAGTTTATATTATATATTCCGAAATCATATTATTTATATATATTAATACTTATTTCCCATTTGCTCTCCCTCTCCATGTACAGCCCGATTCCTGGGTGACGGTGACACATCTGCAAACCCAATCGGGCATCCTTGATCCGGATGACTGTGTCCGGGATGTGGCCGATGATCGGGAGCAAATACTGGCACACTTTGAGGACCCTGGACCGGATCCGGGTGTAGCGCAAGGTGGCGGCGATGGAGCCTCTGGCAGTTCATCCGTGGGCACTGGTTCACCGGACATTTTTCGGGATCCCACCAATACGGAGGCACCCACATGTCCCCGTGATCTGTCCACACCGCATATCGAGGTGACGAGCACCACATCGGGTCCCATGGCTGGCCTGGGTGTGGGTTTGATGGTGCGTCGGAGCAGTGATCCCAACCTGTTGGCCTCCCTCAAGGCGGAGGGCAGTAACAAGCGTTGGTCAGCGGCAGCGCCTCACTATGCCGGCGGAGGTGATTCCCCCGAACGTCTGCTCCTGGACAAGGCCGGTGGTCAGTTGTCGCCGCAATGGGAGGAGGAGGATGATCCCAGTCAGCAGTTGAAGGAGCAATTGCTACACCAGCAACCGCATGCTGCGAATTCGAATGGAACAGCGGGAAATCATCAGCCATTCGCCCGTTCCGGACGCCTTTCCATGCAGTTTCTGGGCGATGGCAATGGCTACAAGTGGATGGAGGCAGCGGAGAAGCTGCAGACCCAGCAACCGACCCATCAGCAGGCTTACCAGCAGTCCTCATCCTCTTCGTCAGCATCGGGAATACTTGGTGCCTACTCGAGCAAATCCCTGCCCAGGGAGACCAAGAGGAAGGAGCCATTGGGCCAGGCCTACGAGTCGATCAGGGAGAAGGATGGTGAAATGCTGCTGATTATCAACGAGTACGGAAGTCCACTGGGACTCACTGCTCTGCCGGATAAGGAGCATGGCGGTGGGTTGCTGGTGCAGCACGTGGAGCCTGGAAGTCGTGCCGAAAGGGGAAGACTGCGTCGTGATGATCGAATCCTAGAGATCAATGGAATCAAGCTGATTGGACTCACCGAATCCCAAGTGCAGGAGCAACTGCGACGCGCCCTGGAGAGCTCCGAGCTGAGGGTGAGAGTGCTCCGAGGTGACCGCAATCGGCGACAGCAGCGTGACTCCAAGGTGGCCGAAATGGTGGAGGTGGCAACGGTTTCGCCAACCCGCAAGCCACATGCAGCTCCCGTTGGCACTTCCCTGCAGGTGGCCAATACCCGTAAGCTGGGACGAAAGATCGAAATCCTGCTTAAGAAGGGCCCCAACGGACTGGGCTTCTCGGTCACAACGCGGGACAATCCTGCTGGTGGCCATTGTCCCATCTACATCAAGAATATACTGCCCCGAGGAGCTGCCATCGAGGATGGACGTCTCAAGCCAGGGGATCGCCTGCTGGAAGTGGATGGTACTCCAATGACGGGCAAGACACAAACCGATGTGGTGGCCATTCTACGGGGTATGCCAGCGGGAGCCACTGTTCGAATTGTGGTCTCACGTCAGCAGGAGTTGGCCGAGCAAGCAGCTTCGGGTGAACAGCCCACGGAGAAGACAGCCTCGGTGGCAGTTGCTCCCCCAGCACAGGTGAATCCAGTGCCAGTGCCGGTGCAGAAGTCGAGCAGTGCCAGATCCCTGTTCACACAGCACCAACAGCAGCAGCAGCAGTTGCTCAACGAATCTCAGCACTTTATCGATGCGGGCAGCGAGTCGGCAGCTTCCAATGTGAGTTTAGATCAAGAAAACCCTTTAAGAACTGATTAATTCTGATTGTTTCCCACCCACAGGATAGCCTCCCGCCTAGCAGCAATAGCTGGAACTCCCGCGAGGAGCTCACACTTCACATTCCCGTCCATGATACGGAAAAGGCCGGCCTGGGTGTCAGTGTCAAGGGGAAAACATGCTCGAATTTGAATGCCTCCGGATCGAGTGCCACTTCCGGTGGTAGCAATGGTCAGCTGATGAAGCACGACGGTGATTTGGGTATATTTGTGAAGAATGTGATCCATGGCGGTGCTGCCTCTCGGGATGGACGTCTGCGAATGAACGATCAGTTGCTGAGTGTTAATGGAGTCTCGCTGCGTGGTCAGAACAATGCCGAGGCCATGGAGACACTGCGTCGTGCGATGGTCAATACGCCGGGAAAGCATCCGGGCACCATAACCCTGCTGGTGGGTCGCAAGATCCTCCGTTCGGCCAGCTCCAGTGACATTCTGGACCACAGTCACAGTCACAGCCATAGCAATAGCAGTAGCGGCGGCAGCAACTCCAATGGAAATAGCAATAATAACAATAGCAGCTCCAATGCCAGCGATAATTCGGGAGCCACGGTCATCTACTTGAGTCCGGAGAAGCGAGAGCAGCGTTGCAATGGCGGTGGCAGTGGCGGTGGTGCCGGCAATGAGATGAATAGGTAAGGAATACCTTTAGTTATAACCTTACTATCAGCTTCTTAATGCATTTTCTTCATTTGCAGATGGAGCAATCCCGTTTTGGATCGTCTAACCGGTGGCATTTGCTCCTCAAACTCAGCGCAACCGTCGCAACAGAAGCTGCAGCAGCAGCAGCAGCAACAGCAACATCCCTCGCAGCAGCAGCAGCAGGCACAGTCTTCGCATCAGCAGCGTCGCCTGCCTCCGGCTCCCATTTGCAATAGTGCAGCTTTGCGGAACGAGAGCTACTACATGGCCACCAATGATAACTGGTCACCAGCGCAGCTGCACCTGCTCACTGGCCATGGCAACACGGCGCTGCTCATCGAGGATGATGCTGAGCCCATGTCACCGTAAGTTTACCTCACATGCAACAAGAGTATTTATTAACTAATTCAATCTTTAAACCAAAACAGAACCCTGCCGGCGCGTTCGCATGATGTACAGCACTGCAACGCGAGCAGCGCCAATTCATCGCAACCGATGACCGCCGGCAATCAATTGGGACCGGCTACCAACAACCCCGTTGTGCCGGGCACCCCATCTTCGTCCAGTAACTTTGATGCCACCTATTCGTCGCAGCTGAGTTTGGAGACCAACTCGGGGGTGGAGCACTTTTCACGCGATGCCCTGGGACGTCGCAGCATCTCAGAGAAGCATCATGCAGCTCTGGATGCCCGGGAGACGGGCACGTATCAGAGGAACAAGAAGTTGCGCGAGGAGCGGGATCGAGAGCGTCGCATTCAGCTGACCAAGTCGGCTGTGTACGGTGGTTCCATTGAGTCGCTAACGGCACGCATTGCCAGTGCCAATGCCCAGTTTAATTCCGGCTATAAGCATGCCAAGACTGCGTCCAGCATTGAGCAGCGTGAATCGCAGCAGCAGTTGGCCGCTGCCGAGGCAGAGGCACGTGATCAACTAGGGGACTTGGGTCCCTCGTTGGGCATGAAGAAGTCCTCGTCGTTGGAGTCATTGCAGACAATGGTGCAGGAGCTGCAGATGTCGGATGAGCCGCGTGGTCATCATGCTTTGCGTGCACCACGCGGTCGTGGAAGGGAGGATAGCTTGCGAGCGGCAGTGGTCAGTGAGCCAGATGCCAACAGTGAGTATTACTATTAAGAAACCATTAATATCTTTGTTTATTAATTCTATTGAATATCTGACAGAGCCCCGCAAGACCTGGCTGCTGGAGGAGGGCGACCATGAAGGTGGCTTCGCCTCACAGCGCAACGGACCCTTCCAGAGTTCCCTGAACGATGGAAAGCATGGCAGCAAATCGTCGCGGGCCAAGAAACCAAGCATACTGCGCGGCATTGGACACATGTTCCGCTTTGGCAAGAATCGTAAGGATGGCGTGGTGCCAGTGGACACCTATTCAGTGGCCATATCGCCACCCAGTTCGGTGGTTTCCTCTGCCACATCCCCGCAGCAGCAGCAGCAGCAGCAACAGCAGCAGCATATGCCGAAAATGATGCAAGTTCCCACAGCTGCTTTGGCCGCTTTGGAGCGTAATGGCAAGCCACCGGCATATCAGCCACCACCACCTTTGCCAGCTCCCAATGGGGTGATCAGTGCCTCCTCCCAGCTGAATGGTGGCATCCATCAGAACGACATCTTCAATCATCGCTATCAGCATTATGCCAACTATGAGGATCTGCAGCATCAGGAGCAACAGCAGCAACAGCAGCAGCAGCAGCAGCTTCATCAGTTAAGGTGAGATTAGTTGCTTTTTTAAGCCTCTCTTTAAGGGTGAAGGATTACATTTATTAATACTTAACTAACCTGTATTTAACATATTTTTAAATATATATTTAAATATATTTTAACACATATTTTTAAACAATTTTATTAACCATTTAACCTTACATTGTTTTGTGTTGAATTTCTTTCTCTCTCTTTCTCTGTCTATTCCGTGGCTCTTTGTCAATGTTTGTTGTTGTTGTTTTTGTGTAACTCACCACTCATGAACACCCTCACACACACACCCACACCCACACACACCTAACATCTACACTGGTAAAAAATATACATTAAAATATGACAGTCGAGGCGACTCTATAACATCCATTTCGGAAACACTTTCGGAATCAACGCTCGAATGCATGCGACAGCAGGTGATCCGGCAGCGCATCAAGGTGGAGGCGGAAAGGTAACACTCCCACAAGGAAACACCTTCCTTACTTAATTTAATTTATGTTTTTGGTGAAAAAGAAAATCAATTAACACTAAGCTTACATAGTTTTTTAATCATAGTTTCTAAATTATTAATGACTTACCTCTCTTTGATTCTGCACAGTCGCCGCCATCAGCATTACCATTCCCAGCGCAGTGCCCGCTCCCAGGACATTAGCATGCATTCGACCAGCTCTGGTTCCCAGCCAGGTGGCTCCGCTCAGCCACAGTCGCAGGCCAATGGAATGCGTCCCATCAGCAGCTACTATGAGTATGAGACAGTGCAGCAACAGCGTGTGGGCAGCATCAAGCACAGTCACAGCAGCAGTGCAGCCTCCTCGTCGTCATCGCCCATCAATGTGCCGCACTGGAAGGCGGCGGCCATGAATGGTTACTCGCCGGCTAGCTTGAATAGCAGCGCTCGTAGTCGTGGACCCTTTGTTACCCAGGTGACCATACGTGAGCAGAGTGGCATACCCGCTCATCTGCTCCTCCAGCAGCAACAGCAGCAGCAGCAGCAACCCACCTATCAGACCGTGCAGAAGATGTCCGGACAGGGGCAGTATGGAAGCACCGCTGGCTCTCAGCCGCATGCCTCGAAGGTGTGACTATAGGTGCTGGCGCATGCGCGCGCCACTCGCGATGTGCTCGCCAAAAGCGGACCCGCTACGGGAGCTGCAACTGGAGATGGAGCTGGAACTGGAGCTGGAGCTGGTGCTGGGGACCATGGGGCCATTCTCAGCGAGGTTAGCGAGGAGGTGGAGGTTTTCTACTTTGCCACCGAGTGCTGAGCTTTCATATATTATAGTATATATATAAACTTAAGGGAAATCTATTGTAAACACACAACACACATACATTTGTAAACACCCCCTAAAGGGTGGGTTAAATATCAGAATAATCCGAATATATTTTATGTGAAATTGTGGTTTTCTGTCGATCATAAATTTATAGATTTATCAATTTGTAAGTCGATAATATCGAGGTGCAATATATGTGTACATTTTTGTGAACCTCTTGAGAACCAAATGGAAAAATATTTATCGTATCTATGCTATCAGAATATAAACCATCACTATATGTAATGTAATTCGTGATATTTTGCTAAGACACGAAAACTAATGTATACTTTATATATATTTGATTATCGACAGAGGAATATTCAAGGGAGAGATGAGCAGCGAGTAAATTGTTTTTAGATCTGAACACGAATTCAAATCAATTTCACACCCACCCTGACGCATCTAAGCTAGGTTAACCATAAATCACATCATAATAAATATGTATCTTTAAGCAGGAGAACGAAGCCAAGAGAGTATCGAGTAACGAGTAGCGAGTAACGATTAGCGAGTAATAAAAAGAACATCGATAGTATTCCCTTGTAAAGCGCAACGACCGTTTTGTGTCAGTCTGCTTAGCTTAGATTTAATTTGTTAAAATGGAAATTAAAGCAATTAATTGCGTTCCATGTTAAGCTTTAAGTCAAAGTCAAATCGCCTTTTGTAAATAACATAATTAGTACAGCAAAGCCAGAAATCCCATTCAAAATTATACAAAAGCTCTTGAGAAAGATCTTCTCTCTCCATATACATATATATATATATATGTATATATATATTCCCTATTAACAATTTTTTTTATGTTTCCCTTTTAATTTGTACATAGAAACTTGTTTGTTTTTCTTGATTTTTTTGATTTTTTTGTTAGCTTTAAAGCGGACGCCATTTGTGTGCAAATAGTGAGGATTTGCGAGATGCGAAAAGTAAAACTTAGAGCCACCCGCATCATATACATTTAGGCTATATGAGTGTAGTGAGTGAATCATCTTATATATATTTTTTTGTTCCCATATAAACATAAATATCTATATAGAATTTCGAGCCTAGTTTTGTAGTTTTGTGCAGCCAGACCTCTCGGCTTCTCGGAGGTCCCTAAAAAGACAAGCTTAACTTAGTTATAAACACACACACACGATACGAACCATTCGATTTCACACATGGCTAGATCATAAGCGAATATATATATATAAAGATATACTATAATTTTGTATAATCCCTTAGAGTAATAATTTGTGCGAATTAAAAGCTAAACATTTCCATTTAAACACACAATAAGCACATCCAGTGTGTCCATTACCTACTTCACTTTTGCCTTTTTGACAACACTCGAGGATGAGGCCTCCTCTTGCGTCTTCTTGGCGGCGGGTTTCTTCCTGCGGAGTAGACGCTTCTTGGGTGGCTTAACCACCGCCACCGGTTCCTTCTTGACCTCTGGAATGGGCTGCAGTACGGTGAAGTTCTTAAGGAGCTCCGGATCCGGTGTCTTGCTCCAGTGTTCGCTGGATAAGTAAGGGAATCAGGATTAATCCTACCAATACCTTAGTTACTCACTCTGGCAATGTATTGGGCGGTAGGACAACGTCCAGGACATTGTCTATTAACCGCGTCTTGAGCATCCGATCATTGGCAGTGGTCGAGTGCATCGATGGCGATGTATTGACCTCAATTAGCCAGGGTTTCATGTTATCATCAATGATGATATCGTAGCCATATACCTCAAAGCAATGCCTATCGTTGGCCATAACCGGAGTCACTGCATCCAGGGAAAGGCGGATGGTCTCGGAGATGCGTTGCCACAGACCTTGGGAGATGCCCTCGCCACGAAGGCTGTCCAAATAGAGCCAGAGGTTCTGCAGAGGCCACTTGCCGCCATGTGTGGAGTTGTACTCTTGCTAAAAGGATCAAAACATAGAATATATATTAAAATATATAGAAATACCTCTAACTTACATTAGTTTTCTGTATGCTGACATTTGTGAGATGCATAAAGACATTATCAATTTCGGTTTGGTCATATTTCTCGGTGCAAAAGCGACAGAAGCCTTCGTTATAGAGGTACGCCTTCAGTGGACAGAATGCGGTCACCAGGACATAGAGTCGCAGATCAAACTTTTTGCCGCATATTAGCAAAGGATTTGGGATATATTTGGAGACGACAACGCAAGTGCCACGGCTCAGCTGCGGACAGAAGGACCGAGAATCGGTGGCGTACTTCTTCAACTTGGACAATTTGTTAATCAAATAGATGCCCACGCCCTGGGATTTGCTGCACGGTTTCACAATCCAAGTGCTGGCCGGACTGTGATTGAATTCCTCCACAAAAAGCTGATAATCGGCGGGCAGGACAAAGGTCATGGGTATAATGTCCAAATATTTATACCTTGTGCCACCAATACCCAGCTTAGTGTCCGGTGGCAGAGTCTGTGCCAGGGGATCCCCCTTACGCTCCAGATCCTTGCGATATCGTTTGATGTTCTTAATCAGCAGATCCTTACGGGAGAGCTCAACGGAGTTGGGGAAGTGATTGATGATTCTATAGAAAGAAAAATGATACATTCTGTGGATGAAAATGAGGCAAGGAAAAACCCACTGATCCGATCGCATGCGATAGGGATGATCGATGCCAAAGATATAGCGACAATTGTGTGTGCCAGCCCAGTAAAAGTTCCATTCGCCGCCAAAGGGTGAAACCTGCTGCCATCCTCGCTTTTTAAAGTTACTAACCAGCGCCGTCTTGGACCAATCCGTACTATATAATATCCCCGTTGGTGGATTATTCTTGTTCCGCTTCCGTATCGGGGGAGTGGCTATAAACTTAATGCAGACCAAATCATCTTCGCTGGTGTCGTTGGTGCCACCCTGCTTCTGGCGGAGATTCCTCAAGGCATTGGTTTGCTTCTTCATGACCGGAAAACCGGGGATGGATCAAAAAAGGGGTTAACCTAAGTGCAAACTAAGCTAATTTTGAATACCAATTTTTAGGCTATTGTTTTTTTATTGGTGTTTTTCATGTGTGAGTTGAAAAGCTAGCAAAAGCCTAGCTGATTAGCCGTGGAATATGTGTGTCTAAAGATGGATAGCGCCCTTGTTCCAGAATCCGATTATCTCCATTAACAGATCCGCTTGCATAATCCGTTGACCGAAAAGCGAAAGTGTTAATTCCCTTTAAGCTGCAATATTTACACAATTTATACAAAATTCTGTTTTCCCCCCCGGATGATCGCATTTTGGTGTTTGGGTTCTAAGTAAACTTGAACCTTTTGCGGTTCGTAAAATAAGTGAAAAATTGACTTTGACACAGAAATAGTTTCTGTGACGGAAGACCTCTTCTCTGGCAAAGCCCCTTGAGTAATTTCACACATCAGGGTACAGATTTTTGTGTCTTTTTTCTTTTGGGGGAAAGAACAATCGTAGGGTATTGTCACCGGTGGACAGTTGAAGGGGTATAAAGTCTGATGTGCGGTCATTGGAGTTCATCAGTCGACGACTTGCAGTGGATTAGCTAAGACATCTTCAGACCTCTTCGGACATCATGAAATTCTACGTGGGATTGGCATCGGCCTGGATCTTGGTGCTGGCTTCGGTTCAACCCGGTGATGCCACCTTTGGCAAGCTGAACCTTCTGCTCGGCGGAGGAGCTGCCTCTGGCTATGGTTCCGGCTACGGTTATGGTCAGGGTTACGGCTCCGGCTATGGCTATGGTCAGGGTTACGGCTCCGGCTATGGCTATGGCGGTGGCTACGGATATGCTCCCGAGAATGTGGTGAAGGTGATCAAGGTGTCGGTGCTGCCAGGAGGCGGTGGTTACTCTGGAGGCTATGGAGGTGGCTATGGAGGTGGCTACTCTGGCGGCTTTGTGGGCGCTGCTCCGGCTATATCTACCTCGGCTGTGGTCACTCCGGTGGTTACTTCGGTGTCTACACCGGTGGCATCACCTGTCCTGGCCGGCGGAGCTGGTTATGTGGGTGGCTTTGGCGGTGGAATCGGTGGTCTTGGTGGCCTCGGTGGCTTCGGAGGTGGAGCTGCCTTGCCCGCCTCGTATGGCTTCGGAGCTGGCTATGGCGCTGGAGGTGGCTTCGGGCTTGGATTTGGAGCACCACCACCGCCCTTGGGTTTGGCTTCGGGACTTTGTTAAAAAAACAACGAAATTTTGTATATTTTTTTAATAATTTTAAAGAACGAAATGTAATTAAAACTTAAAATAATAAAATGTATAAAGAAACGACTTGAAATGTATAAAGAAACGACTTGAAACGAAGAGAAGACTTTAAAGTGCTTTATATTTATGGATTTTAATAGTTTTTCTTAAGTCATGAGAATAAATTTCAATTAAATATGAAGTATATTACTCAATTAATTAAAAACAAAAGAGGAGTTATGCTTAATTTATAGGAAAAGTTTTGGCTGCACAATTTTAGCTTGCCTTCTGTCAAGAAAAATACATTTTTCCTTAAATTTATTGATTCTTCTAGTTAAGTGCTTAAATAATATTTAAAAATGGTTCTTATTTTAGTATTTAAGCTGCTTTAAAAGAAGAAATGAAAGCCCAAAAGTGTGCTAGTTAAGTTCTTTTCACATTCTTTATAAGAAATATTTTTAAGCTTCATTTATTGAATATGTAACCCGGTGACTTTGGCAATTTCTCGCTTGACAATTACAAAATAACAATTTCGCACCTAATTGAAGAAGTCGCCACCCCCAAAAAAGAGATATATATTTATACCATATATAAGAGATGAAAAGCCCAGCCCATTCAACCCGAGAGACGGCCTTGGGAATTGTTCGTGAATGAAACCGAGAGTTGGCTGGGAATGGGCTTCGGTCTTAACAATCTGAGGCACCTGTTTACGCATTCAGTTAGCCCGACTGCAGATCGTGTGGCAAGCAAGTTGGCCCTAACAATGCTGTTAATGGTAATCAAGTGCCAAAAGCCAGAAAGCAGAGCCAAAGCCAAAGTCAAAGTCACAAGAGCCAAGCCCAAAATCTTCGACCGAGAATTGCTGTGCGTCCGTTTTTTGGGTGCAAATTGGTTGAGCTGGACCAGAGCCAGACGATACTATACAGATAGATATATATCTATTATATGTATATATATTTGCCAGTTTAGAGCCACTGAATATACACTGTGCGAAAGGGAAGAGATTTTTAAATGATATAATACCCCAAGAAGTGTGTTTTATGGGGCTTTTATTTAGGTTTCTAATAAATTCACTTGATTTTAAAATATATTTTGATTTATTAATGAATTTCTTTGTGTGTATCTTTAGCTCCGACCTAAATGCGAAACCACATAATGTCTAAGAAAAAATCAAGGGGGAACCAAAAAGTTAAAATAAGAATGAAAGAGTACCGAGTAAAACCGAACTTTTCACACCCTAGAAGTTGGCAATTGGATAGATTTGATTAATTTTTAAAACTATCATAACTTAGTCAAAAATGCATTAATTTCAATTCAGAAACCGCTCCAGTTTTAGTTTTTAAAAGATTCATAAATCTGCATACTAAATTTAATATTTTAAAAAATCGAAATTTTTGTCAAATTTTTGAGAATTTTAATGATGTAACCCCTTATAAAATTTTGCAAAAAATTGAAAAAAATTGTTTTCACTCCCACATAGCTAGATAGATTTGCCTGTTAATGCTGATCAATAATATATACGATTTATAGGGTCGGAAATGTCTTTTTCACTGATTTAAATTATATTTCCTCTTTGAGGGTATCAAAATACACATTATTCTTGCAATAATGTAATAATGTTCAATCCATCTAAAAATTAATAAGTTGCATTTAGAAATAAGTTAAATTAATAGTAAATGAGTTCTATTGAAGCTGATCAAGAAAATATATACATTTGATGTTTAAATAACTCTCCTTTGTGGCAGTGCAAACGTCTGCCTAAAATCATAGTACCTTCTTTTAGGGTAATAAATTCCAAAATCTGTAAATGGGAATGTGTAAATTGGCTATGATTTAATATTTGCCATGTTCAGTCAATAAAGAAGGGAGGGGTTACCAGAGAGAAAGATAAAAGAATAAATAAAGAAAGATTTTGGAGAATACAGTGCGTAACTAAAGTGTAAGAGAGATTTAAGAAGGATTTATGTATTTAAGGTAAATAAAATTGTTAAAAAATAAAGGCTTTGTAAGATACCTTTTGACTTATTTTTAAATAGATTTCTTTGAGTTCTAATGGAAATATTAATAAATGTATTATACATTAGTCTACCTTCAAATGTAGTTTAAGTTCTAGTTACAGTTTAGATCTATATATTGACGTGATGCTCTGTATTTAGGAACCTAGGAAACCTAATCTTTTACGAATTATCTATGCTGGAAATTTATATTCCAAAATTCCATGCATGTTCTTACCACAAAAAAGGGATTTTTACGAGAATCTCGTGTGCCAAAGAAACCTGTTGTCAAATTATGGCAACATAAAAAATTTCGCCAGATGGAAAATCTTTTGTGCGTTCTTGGATATGTGTATAATCAAATATATATAACTTATATGCTGACCTAATTTGCATAGTAGACCAGATCAATAGGAAAACAAAGAGCCGCACCAAAAACCGGCATTTACATAAATGTAATATTTGCCAGAAGAGGAGATCTCTACGTCAGACAACGTGGCAACGTGGCTTCTGGGACGAGTTTTCGAGATCCGACAGATGAGGTGGAACAGCTCAAAAAAAAAAAATATATATATATATAAAATAAAACATAGAAATCTAAAATCCCAGATGAACCACGGATCTCTGGGCGTGCTTCGGATACTTGGCCATTTAACCATTTAGCCATTTGGATATTTGGTTTTTGGTTTTTTGGCTACGTGAAGCCATGCACAAGATTTCGGTGGCGGAATGAGTGACAATGTCAATAAGTTGGCTACGCACATGGGACAGCGTGCACTGAAAGAAAAATTGTTAACCAGAAAAGAAAATAAAAAGCAGTGCTATATGTTTTAATATGATTCATTTGCTACTTTGTTTTCAAGACAAATATTTATAAATATGACAAAAAGAGTATTGATCAATAAACAATAAATTTCTATTATTTCAATCACTTTATAGTATTTTACTTAATTGGTGATTTAATAATTTACTTACTTAAAATACTGAGAAATAAAATAAAAGCTGTGTTAAACCCTTCTTAGTTGTAAATATATTTTATTTTATATATTTTCCAATTTGGTATATTCTTTAAAGATCAAATAGTGTGTTATTTATATTGATTTATAGGACAGACTTATAATTTCCTGATTCCCAACTTAAAAATAAAACCCGAATAAAACATTTTTGTTTGTTAAATATATGTTATTTTATTGATAATAAACTATACCCTTAAAACTAAAAAGAGTTCTTTAAGATCTTGAAAAGTAAATAATTTTTTATTTCTAAATATATAAACCAAACTTATTTACCCCACAAAGTATCTTCTTTATTATAATTTTTTGAGGGGCATCCTTGGACATAATTATAGTCTATATTAAATCTAAACATTTCCCTCAGTGCTAATTTGTGATTTTTGGGGAATTACCTGAGCTTCTTGCGAATCCGTAACGCTCTTGGTCCGCACACCAAAATGTTTCGTAGTTTTAAATATATATATATTTATTTTGTTTTTCTTGTTATTTTTTTTTTTCTTCTATTTCTTTTCTATTTTTCGATGAGCTCTGTGTGTGTGTTTCGGGAGATGCGAGAAAATATCTCACTTGATGGTTAAGTAGTTGAGGTGACAGACAGCCGCTGCCCCGCCTAGATTTCAGTTACAGTGAAGCCTGGAATAAGGTGAACTTGAAGGGAGTTTAAAAATATTTAAATGTACTTTAAGTTTTAATATTAAAATATGAGAAAAAGGTAGTTTACACTACTTATATTGTAATAGAGTTGGTAATACTATAAACTATGTGTAGGAATGGAATGTTTTTGAATGAAAATTAAATATATTAGTTTAAACATAAATAAAAATCTTACAGCATAATAAACTAAACCATTTTATTAAATACTAAAATATACTTGATAAATATTTAATAATTTCTACAAATACATTTTGTAAATATTTAAAAAATCTCTTATAATTAGTTAATAGGAGATCTCTGAATCCAGAGACTTGCCCTTCTTAGAGTCTCCCCTATGGTTCCATTTTGTGGCTCATCTTGTGGCTTTGGCTCGTAAGTAACTATTTATGAATTAAGCAAACAGCTTTTGGGGAAGCTCACCTCTGTTCAGCTCATCTCCGGGGCTGGATGGGATTAGAACTACACGAATACATGGGCACAGGTAGAGGCTATCCACCGGCATAGCTCCCAGAGAGATGCCGCTTAGGGGGAGCCAAGCGACTATAAATTAGTGCCCCGGCTCCATTTGGGCCATCAGTTGAGTTTCGTTTGGATTCCCGGCAGCACCTTCACCTAGCACACATAATACCACACATTGGAACCATGAAGCTGTACGTCTGCGTTGTCATCGCCCTGCTGGCCATTGTGGCTCCATCGAATGCCCTTTTGGGGGCCAAGTTGGCCCTGCTCAAGGCCATTACCGGTGGCAGCGGCTTTGGTGGCAGCTCATCCGGCGGCGGTGGTGGCTACGGAGGCGGTGGCTATGGCAGCGGCGGTTACTCCGGTGGCTATAACCAGGGATACTACAGCCAGCCCAGCCGTCCCGTGTATAGCTCCGGCTATGGCAGCTCCTCAGCCTCGTCTGCATCCTCTGCCTCGTCCTATGGCGGTGGCTATGGAGGTGGCTATGGCGGTGGTTATGGAGGTGGTTATGGTGGTGGCGAGCAGGTGGTGAAGATCATCAAGGTGGTGGAGCAGCCCTCGTACAACTACGGACGCTCATCGGGCGGCTATGGTGGCAACTATGGTGGCAGCTATGGAGGTGGTTACTCCTCCTCGAGTGCCAGTGCCTCCAGCTACTCGGCCCCAGCTCCTGCTCCCGCTGTGACCTACTCTGCTCCCGCTCCCGCTGTGACCTATAGTGCTCCTGCTCCTGCTGTGACCTACTCCGCTCCAGCTCCTGCTCCCGCTGTGACCTACTCTGCTCCTGCTCCCGCTCCCGCTGTGACTTATAGCGCTCCTGCTCCCGCTGTCACCTACACTGCACCTGCTCCTGCTCCTGCTCCGATTACCTACTCCCTGCCAGCTCCTCAGCCTCAGGTGGTGCGTGTCCAGGCTGCTCCCGCTGTGACCTACACTGCTCCTGCTCCAGTGCCCGCACCTGTGGTCCGTTATGCTGCTCCTGCTCCCGTGGTCCGTTATGCTGCTCCTGCCCCCGTGGCACCTGCTCCTATCTCGTACGCTCCCGTGGCTCCTGCTCCCATCTCCTATGCCCCACAGCCACAGAGCCAGCAGGTGGTGAAGACCATCAAGCTGATCGTTGATGAGGATGTGGCCAGTCATGCTCCGGCGCCGGTTTATGGACCTCCAGCTGTGGGTTCCAGCTACTCCAGTGCCGCTGCCTCTTCCTCAGCCTCAGCCTCCAGCGGTGGCTATGATGGTGGCTACAATACCGGATACAATGGCGGCTACAATGGCGGCTACAATGGCGGCTACAATGGCGGCTACAATGGCGGCTCCAATGGTGGCTTTTCCGGTGGCTTCAATGGCGGCTGGAAGCGTGGCGGCATCTTCGAGAAGCTGGTGGGATGCTAGGAACACCGAGCTATATGCTAACCTAACCTAATCCAAACCTAACCGTACTCAGCAATTTTTTTTCTAGTTCTAAATCGAATAATTGTACTTTTTTGTTATCTAAAGAAAACCGAAACGAATCGAATGTGTATATAAAAACAAAAAAATAAATCAACATACATGAAAGTGAGTTTACTATATATAATGTATACTATATAGTTTAGTTTTCTGATAAATTAGTAACCTATATTATAAAGTTACTCTATTAGGAGTTTATATAACTCAGTTACTATAGAAGCAGTGTCTTGGGAAGTGCATTAAACTTTTTAATTGGGTTTTGAAATTTAAACATACCTTGTTATTGGTTAATAATTATATGATATATGATATATATATTTCATTCATAATTTTTTTCTTAAATATAGAGTTATTATAGTGACTTTTTTGTTGGCCAACAAACATTGAGGCAACCCCTTATGTAATTTTGAGAACCTCAAACGAATTCGTTTGTCTGCTGACATAAATCACCTATTTTCGGGTTTTTTTTTCATGGCTTTCTACCAGGGTTCATTGTGTTATTGATTCTATATGAAATTAGCACTCGACTGCTAACTCCCAACGAATCGGTGGCAATTCCAATATATACCAATTCCGGCTCAGAAGAGAAGCTGGCCCTGAATAGTTACTTGGATAAAGTGGCAGAGATTTAAAGTTGACTTAGTTTGAAGATGTGAAAATGTGTTCTTATAGATTTAAATTTAATCATTATTAATTGATATAATATAAATTTTATATATTTAAGTTAAAAAACAATAAAAAAATGCCTGCTTTTATTTTATGTTCTCTTTTTTAACGATCGTTTGTATGACAGCTATATGATATAGTAGTCCAAATTTCATAAAATTTTGCACAAAATTCTACATAAATATATAATGGCTATATATTAAATTTAATGGAAATCTGTTAAAAACTGAAAAAGTTGTAATTTTGTTTGCAAAAATTTACCGATCGTTCCTATGGCAGCTATATATATATGTATATATATAGTCCACCGCTTCGCCATGCTTTGACTTATATACTAGTAAAACTAGATAGAAGAAGAACTCCATAGTTTCATTGAAATAGCTTAAATTTGTTCGAAAACAAATCTCGCACATCTGTACTTATGCTTCCCAACTTGTTTTAACTTCCCCGGAACGAAGTGGCTTCTACCAGCCAGGTCTCAGATATGTGTTGTGTTCCAAAAGTTGCAAGTCATTGTTTACTAGTGTTCAAATTAAGTAAGTGATCATACATACATACTGACAGGTCATAGATACTTAGTGTTCTGAGTTACTTACTGCTCATAGTTACTTGCGCACATCTGTGCTTATGATTCCCAACTAGTTCTAACATCCCTGGAACGAAGTGGCTTCTACCAACCAGGTCTCAGATATGTGTTGTGTTACAAAAGTTGCAAGTCATTGTTTACTAGTGTTCAAAGTTAGTAAGTGATCATACATACATACTGGTCATAGATACATAGTGATCATACTTACTTACTGGTCAGGGATAGTGACTGTTCAGAGTTACTTAATGTTCATTGATACTGACTGTTCAGCGTTACTTACTGCTAATAGATACTCACTGGTCATAGTTATCTTCTTGTCATAATTATTTAGTGTTCATTGATATTTACTGATCATAGTTACTTAATGTTCATAGTGGCTTCAAAGTATAATCTTTAATTAAAATCTATAGAAAATGTTACAAGACTTAACGATATATATATAAGTATTCTCTAATTAATATATATAAAACCCTCTGATCTCAATCATTTGTGGCATGCAATGCGTGTGCGTTTTGAGGGGCATTCAGAGAGTATTCCCAGTCCCAGTGTCACCATTGAGCATTCAGCCAAGACCAACAATTTCCGGTTGTAAATAAATATAAATAGTAGACACCACCCAGGAGAATTTTTCAAGACAAAATGCAGTGGCTTGGACTGGGTTTACTTACTCTAACAGTGGCTTTAGTGGCTCTTGTAGCTGGTCATGCGATTGAAGAGGAGATTCCACCATCTTTGGCTGCTCATGGTGAGTATAAGAGATGTTTTAGCTAATATTTTCGTTAAGATTTAATTGAAATATTTTATTAAATCTAAATATCTATTATCTATATTACAGCTTATGGTCCTGCCATACGCATTAGCTCTGGGATTTTACAACTAGCTCCGGATAGTGAACAGCCCCAATTGCTGCTGGTGCCTCATGTCCACTCCTCTTCGTTGAGTTATCCCTGGCCGCATTTCTATGTGGACACCTTGACAGCTTCACACCTGCCACACTCCTCCATGACACCTGTTGGTGGTGCTAGCGATTCGATCCATGAACCACGTATTTTGGTCAATGATAATGTGGACTTTTCGCAAACCAAATTGCCCAAATCTCGGGTCGTTCACTCCCATGGACGCTAGATGCCAAAACCATTCATAAAATTATATATTTTTATTGCATGGTTTCTTGAACTATTTTATATTTTGTTTATTATCTTGGGCATTTTTGTTGTCCCGAATTTGGGTATTTATTGAATAAACTTGCTTAACAAAAACGTTTAACTTACTTTTGCAATTAATAAAACAGAAAGAAATAAATATAAAACATAGCCTAATAAAGCTTTATAAAAACCTTAAATTTAACATAGAGCACTGCATGAGAAATATGTTGCTGGGGAAATGTTGCCAGAAACATATTGAGCAACACATAAATGTTGCATTGATTTTTATATTTCCCAAACTCCCCTGCCTTTCAACCAATTGCAGTAAAATTTCTTGCTTAATTTTGATTTAACTTAGTTATTTATTTAGATAATTGTTAAGTAACAACAAATTTTGCAAAAAAAAAAAAAAAAACAAAAACAAACAGAATCTCCTCCTTTCTCTCTCTATAAGTAATAATCTTTGAGCATTTTGCTAGGTCTTGGCGACAATCACAGTCTTAGTAGAGGTGCTCCAGATGGCTCAGATCGTGATGCTGATGCTCCAATATCTGATGCTCCACCTGCTGTTCCAGGGCCTGATGCTGGATGTGCTGCAGTTCGTGCTCATCCCGATCCTTGAACTCATACAGAGTGCTGTAGCTGAAGGCACCCTTGCCGTGATCGATGCCAGGCACAGCCTTGTGCTCCTCATGGTCGCCGGCATCCTCGTAGTGGGAATGCACCTCACTGGCCTCTGAAAACTCCTCGCCGGCATCACTGCTGCTGCCAAAGTCCGTGGGGAAACCCTCCTCGCTGAGATGATCCCCCAGTGAGCCCAGGTGATCCGGTGATTCGCCACCAAACTCCTGCGAAGCGGAGGAGCTAAAGTCCAGCTTGGACAAGGCTTCGCCGCCGGTCAAGCCGCCGGCATAGTTACCCAGCAAGCCGGCGGAGTGGAGAATGCCCGAGGAGAGATCCTTCTCGTCCAGGGGATATCCCTGGACACCGATGATGCCCAGGAGAAGTAGCTTGGCTCCCAGCAGGATCATCATTGTGAGATGGTTGTTCAGCATGGCTTTTCCTTGAGGGGGGATTTTCCTGACCGACGCGGCGAAATGTTTCAAGTCAACTAATTTACTTCTCCCAACTTCGTTTCGTATTTATATGCTGCCCGTTCACCGCTGCGGCACATGCACATTTTCCTGCATTTTCCAGCCACACTTTGGTGCTTTTGTTTTCGCAAAAAAGACAGCAACAATAACAACAAACATGTTGCAACGGACATCTGCCCCCCGTCTTTCTTGCAGCTGATAATTTGCTGCACTTACTCCGCATTACGTCGACGGTTTTTATTTTTTTTTTGTTTTGAGAAGCCTCCCCGCTGCCTCTTGGAACCTGTTGCCGCAACGGTGCGTATACGTAATAATTTTCGTCTTCTCCCATCAATTTTTTTTGTATATTTCTTTTGGCCAGTTCTCGGTGGCACTTAACCCATTGCGTAATTATTTTTTTGGGTAACCCTGTGAGGCCTTAACCCCCACACACCCGAGGTGGGGCCTTCTCCTCCGAAAGCCGGAAGACGAAACGCGTTTGGCACAGACCAACTAATTGGGTTTATCAACAGCAAAATATTGGAAATAGAATGGCAAAAGTACATACTTCAAAGCCCACCTGTGCACACCTACAAAGTTGGTACAAGTTGCTCTTGGCCCAAACAATGCAGTGAGAGGAGGTTCATTGTGCAAAATTAAAAAACAAAGTAAAAACAAGAGGCTTGAAAAATGCAGCAAAGTCAAATAAAGGAGGAAGAGGCATCTACTTCTAAATAAATAAAAGATATATATTTAGAGATTTAAATAAATGAGGGAAACAACATTAATAGATAGAGTTAAAGTACTCATTATAATTATGATATTATAATTTCCCTCAGAAGCTTTTTCTATTTATTTGTTTACATTTCTCTAGCTCTAAATCTCTGCACCTCACTCTCCCTCTCTAACGCTCTCTCTTATTCTCTAGCATTTTCTGCATGCCTCTTTGTATCTCTGGAGATGCCTCTTACTCTCCATCTCTCTCTGCCTATCCCTTGGGATAGCCCTTACTCTCGCGCTCACACTTTCTCTGTTCTCTCTTTCTCTGTTCTCCCTCGGGACTATAAATACAGGGCGCTACCGGCCCTCGGGCCTCATTTGGTGCGCGGAGTGGCTGCTGGCAACATCTATGGTGATAGGGGAAGTGATCATGAAAATATCACCTGCATCTGGATAAACAGGAAGAAGCTCTACACCGGATGCAAGTAAACAATGACGTGTCCTTAACTATTCACCGGATGGATGTAAACAATGACGTGTCTTAAAATTCTTTACCGGATGGAAGTAAACAATGACGTCTCCTAATAATTCTTCACCGAATGGAAGTAAACAATTACGTGTCCTTAACTCTTCACCAAATGGAAGTAAACAATGACTTGTAATTAATTCCTGTAAGTCTTAACTAAAGTGGGAGTGATAGTGATTGGCCTTCGACCCAAATAACATCATCTGCACCCAATGCAATGGATCTGGATAAACAGGAAGAAGCTCTTCACTGGATGGAAGTAAACAATGACGTGTCTCCAATTCCGGTAAGTCTTAACCATGACAATTATTTATATATGTATATAGGACGGATCAGGCCTAATTATAGAAGTAGTTGTGCTAACTAAGCATTTCTTTTTTCAATTAATTCCCTTATTGCCATGGACCCCTTTACTTAACTTTAATTCAAAGTGATATAGCAATTTATATTAAAGATATCTACAGATGCATACTCAACAAAACAGCCTAACTTAATTATAATTTATTCATTGCCATGGAATCCATTACTTAGCTATCCCCTGCAGGGTATCATAATTGTAATTGTTATATAAAAATATCAATAAATAATTTAAATAATGCGAACATTATAAGCTTAGTAACGATTGATTCCCAATACAATCCTATAATTTAAGTACAAACTACAAGGGTATATAAACATCAGCTTCCTGAAGTTAGTTTCCTTTCCTGTTTAAACTTCAATTAGAGATAAATACTTTCCTCAAAGATTCTCTCAAACTTCTCGTTCAAGTTAATACGATTTTTCCATTTTAAATTATTCTTCTAGAAACAATACTCTTATAACCCCTTCCCAAAATGCTTTAAACCTTAGCTTAGTTACATAATGCCATACCCAAGACCCATTATTTAGCTACACTCTGTAATATATATAGAGCAATCTGGAGTGATTTTCGATTTCATGAGACTCTCGGCAATTAAAAAGCTCAAGAGCCATCAGAGCGAATAGTCCAAGACTCCCCGCTTGATCGCCGTCATATATGTTTTATATATGTATATATCTGGATATATACCCGAGTATTATGATACTCACCAATTCCAAAGCAAACTGCGTGGATACTCCTGTCCAGAAATATGGAGCACCTGCCTCAGGTAGAAAAGATTGCAAAAGGTGGAAAAGTGAAACAAAACAGCAAACGCTGTGCGAGCATGTACGTATAAACACTTGCTGATTGTCGACAGTGCCCGCCATCAGCATAAAGCGAAATGTGCGAATAATTTGCCAAAAATGTAGACACGAAGGTGGTGGGGGTTTTTCCTTAACAGCGAATAGGGTATGCTCTGTGGGGGAACTGAACATATTAAAATAAAAAACTTTTATTTTGGGTTTAGAAATTATACAAAAATTGAGATTTTGTATTATAATAAAATCAGTTGAACTCTTTTAATCAGTTTGACATTAATGAATGTAAATAATGCAAGTAGAAAATCAGTATTTGAATATATGCTTAAGACTACATTATTTTATTGATTTTATTTATATTATTTTTCAATTATAGATTCTAGTCGAAAATAAGTACTTGTATATGTGATAAATATTCTTAAAAACAAACTATAAATAAATGCTTTCAAATTACTAAGAATTCATTTTATAAACTTTAGACTTATCTTCATTACTATATACTTTTAAATATATAACATTAAATATATAATTCATTTCCTCTTTAAAATCCTATTTATATTTATTATTTTCCTTCTACATCAAATCTCTTTACAGTTTTTAAATAATTATAATGATATTTCTTAATTTTCTCACTTGCAACAAAGTTATATATATTTTACAATCTCTTATAATCTCATTTATTATAGGTTCGAAAAACCCTCCTACATTTTTGAGGGCAACTTGTTCGATAAGTAGACATAATTAGTTGGCTGATTATTAATTTGCGAATCCAAACTGCCGTCATTCGCACTTACACTTCTCGCACAGGTAAATTAACGTGTTTGCCGCCGTATTGCTAATGTTGCTGATGTTCAGTTGTTCAGTTGTTCAGTTGTTCAGTTGTTCAGTTGCTCAGTTGTTCAGTTGTTCAGTTGCTCGATTCTTCAGGTTGTCGGCACGCAACCCATCATTCACAGCAGCAACGATCAGTAGCAACAATAGCAATTCAAGCCGGGCAGTGGGGCACACAAATTACCAATGTAATAGCGCCGTTTGTTTTGTTTTATGTTTTTTATACACTTCCAGGGGGTAATGTATGCTTAAATATATACTTTACTATAGGAAAATAGACAGGATTTACAGACAACATTTAACTGATTGATTTTATTGATCAATCATAAACCTACTTTTTTGGTTCTGCAGCAATACATGGATCATTCAAGATGGGTTATATATTATGTTGAAACTTTTGATTTAAAATTAAACTGCAATTTTCCTAAATAAAGATTTATTATTAAGATAATATACATACAAGTTATTTATAGTTTAATATACATATATGATCATATAAATGGGAAATTCAGCTGAAGGAATGATGTTTTATTATTTTACAATTACAAAAGTTTTTTTTACCATTTAGGCTTCCATAAACTTATAAACAAAAGTTATTTTTGACATATTCAACAATTGTCTGTGTTATTATTTTAATTAGAGAAAGAGACAATTTAGGCAACGAGTATAAAAATAGTATCCCTCTCCTATCTATGAATATTCCTTGTTTTTTATTATATTAATCCATCTGATAATTTAGGGAAAGAGTATAAAAATGCCTGTCTACCGGAATTGGCTTTCTTTATTGCTTTGTTTTTGGCTTTTTCGATGGCGGGGGCGGTGAGTTGCAGAATGGATAATTGGAAGCGAAGCAAAGTAGTAGGCGATTCGCATTTTGGCATTTTTGGGGTTTTGGGATTAAAGTACACAGTAAAAAAAGTATAATATACCAGAAAAACAAGTAATTTACTTTTATATGATATTTTTTTGAACTAATCAAGTTTTAAAAAAGTCATAACTAAGTCAAAAATGCATTCTGAGTTAGTTGTTTGGCGCTTAACAATTCTGCATACCAAATTTTCCTTTTTAAGATATTAAAATATTTTTTTTTAGTTTTGCACATTTTGACGATGCAACCCCTTAAATTTTTTATGATTATGATGGGGTCGGAAATGGCTCCTTCACTAAATAAATTTATATTTTCCTCTGAAAGGGTATAAATATCATCATCACTTACTATATATTTAAAATTGTTCAATTGCTAGTGGTTTATTTCTCTTAGTGCATCAGAGAGCAGCGTTTCCTAACGCAACAAATATTTTCGCTTGGAAATTATGCGATTGCCAATGTCTGCCGCCCACCGCTCTCTTAAGATTACTGGATCGCTGGATTTCTGGTTGGTCTTATAGCTATAAGCTTATAGCTTCAGTTACCTGGAATTTTGCAAGAGATATATACTATAGTTCGTGCCGTCGGGTAATCACGAAATCCGCGCGATATCGTGGCGTCGTGCCTTAGAACACAATGTCTCTATATCTTTCAGGAGGTCATAAATATTGTTTCGAAATGGGGGAAAATAATGTCTGGTAATGTCTAGATTCTTGGACATATAAAAGGCCTGGCCAAGGTTGAGTTTTTTTCAGTGTGTAAAGCAGATTATCATGGGTTTAATAGCGCTTTTGATAGAGCTTCTGGCTGTGTTCCTCTTGGTGGTGATTGTGGATTGTGGTTCCGAAAATGTTTCAGAAAATCAAGGTTATTTAGGAAATACCGAAACTAGAAACCTCAACGAGCTGAGTTTATCAATTTTAAGTCTTTCAAAGGCTAAAAGTGGAACTAACTTGAAGCAAAATATTACAGCTTCCATTAAAAGTAATCCTCTGGCTGAAATTTACTGGAAAAGTCCAGTAAGTTCAGAATCATCTTGTGATTGCAAAAGCCTCTCAACAATTTGCAAAGCCTCTGAACAGTTCAAATTCAAATCATTACCACCAGAACGCTTTAAATTTGAGGATCCTTGGAATATAAACAATATCCAGAGTGCCATCCTTAACGATTTAAAAATCCGATCGGAACTCACTGATCGCCTGCAGGATCAGCTCCGGCAGTTTATCATAGGATTACCCCTGGATATAGCCTTCTCCACTCTGAACTACATCTGCAGCACCATTGTGGATTTAGGTGTGGTTAGGTCCAAACTTGTGCCGGACATGTCACAGATGTCCTTTCTTCTGCTTACTGAAAATAATTGCCGGAATACTAGTATCCGATTGGATCAAGTGGAGGATTTATTCAAAACTCCAGGCTTTAAACCAGATCTGCCATCGGTGCTTTTTATTACCGGCTGGAGGACGAGCATCAATAGTTCCAACAGTGGTCCCGTGGCCAAGGCCTATGCCTGTCGCAATGATACCAATATACTGGTGAGTTTATATAACCATTTAAAGATCTGGATTTAATTACTGGATTTACTTTGATAGATCCTGGATGCTGCCAACTTTGTGGATACTTTGTACTCTTGGTCAGCCTTAAATACGGAGGCCATTGGCGCCTATGTGGCCAAGGCTTTGCTTCGTCTGAATGCCACTTATGTGACCGAACAGCTGCATATTGTGGGTCATAGTCTGGGAGCCCAGATTGCAGGATCCACAGGCAGGACCTACAGGCAGCTGTCGAATGGAAAAATCCTTAAGCGTTTGACGGGATTGGATCCTGCTAATCCCTGCTTCTATGATGGCAATGATCTGGAGGGTTTGAGAAGTGGAGATGCCAGATTTGTGGACATTATTCACTCGAATCCTGGAATGCTGGGCTCCTCGAAGAGAGCAGGGGATGCGGATTTCTTTGTCCAGGGAAGGATACCATTTAAGGCCGGTTGCACTGGCCTGGAGGCCATCACATGCTCTCATCAGAGAGCTGTGGATTACTATGCCGAGAGTGTTTATCCCTCGAATGAGAAGGATTTCCTGGGACGTCGTTGTGATCGTTATGCCGATCTCCTCGTAGGGAGATATTGTCAGGACACAAGGACAGTGATGGGTTATGGTGCCAGACCCACAGAGCTGGGACTTTACTATGTGGGAGCCAATGGAGAGGAACCCTATGGTCAGAATGCAGATCTGGGGTTATATACACAATCCACCAGCGAATGCGGCAACTGTGATTGAGTTTTTTTGGGGTTTACTATATAAATTATTTCAGTATCTTTTGATGACAAATGTATCTGTTTTTTTATACAATATTTTATGTCAACGGGTATTTCCCCATAATTTCAAGGACAGGACGACGCCTTTATTGGGTGGGCCAAGCCCCTGCTTCCCCTTTTTTCCGGTCACCAAAAATCGTGATTTGTGTGAGAAATCGCTGTCAAGCCAAAGTAAATTCTTTTGTGACGTCTTTGGGATCACACAAAACATAGTCCGGAGCACGTCGATGGAATGACAATGGCTTGGAGATCGGAGATTGGGGATTGGAGATCGGTGGGGGGAGATTTCTAGCCGGGATTGGGGAATATGGAATGAGCAGTGAGTAGTGATTCCGCATTAATATGTCTCGGTTGTCGTAACCAGCAGTAGCTCTTGATGCTATTTGTTCCAGCACTGAGAGAAAACGTAACTAGGAAGAATATATAATATATATTTGTTATGAATATATACAAATTTTTGGTAAAAGAAGACTTTGAAAACAAAAAAAATGTTAATTTAATGTATTTAATATGCTCAAGACCTTCAAATAGTAATTTTGTATAATTAAAACAAATGTTTTTTAACTAAATTTAGTTTTTGATATTAAATGGTTCTAAATACATACTAAAACTAAGAAATCTAATATATTTTTACTGTGTACTTTTATGATACACTACCGAAAGGAGCGGTAATAGACCTTGCCAATAAACTGAGGAAGTTGGTTTACAAATCTAAACAAAAACATAATCAAATAAAATAAATGTGCTTTCCAGTATTCCATAATCATTTACAGACGACCCCCTTGGAGAGATTAGCAGCGGGGAATTCCAAGATCACAATGTCAAATACATATAATTGTCATGTTTGGCGAGAGATTAAAACGAGTCTCTTTTGGGCTATAAATAAATATATACTAAATACAATTACTAGCATAAAGTTCCTTGTTTATATATCATACCAAAACCTAGAGTGTTTATCCCTTCGACTTGCTGATAACTATATGTAACAGGTCATTATAGATTTTCACGACCTGAGATTTAATGCATCTCGATTGGAATTGAAATATATGCAGATGAGGGCGAGACATGCGAATGCAGTTCCCTGGACACCCGGAATCTCAACCAGATTCTCAACCAGAATCTGAGCTAGAATCTCATACAGATTCACTTTGAAGCCCGAATCTGATTCGCATTTGGAGAGACGAGAGGCGCCGCGATCGGAATGGAAACTAATTAAGTGACAAGTGCACCTTATCTGATCGGAACCACATCGATATGGTCACAGCCGAGCGGAATCGTAAGTGTATATATTTATATATATGTGCTGATATATAAGGCGTTTGCTGGAGTCTATATAAAGCCTTGTCACCGGGCTTCCGGCACTCAGTTAGCTTCCAGATCTTGTCCAGAATGGGTGAGCCAAGTGGGAAGAGAATGCTATCGATTCAGCACCTGTTGGTCCTTCTCCTGCTCCAGCTGCTCTCACCACTGGCGGCCATCGAGTGGACGCTGCCGGATGTCATCGATTCCATTGGCAATGTGGGCACCACCATTGTGGATCCCAGTTTGTTGCCCACACCTCAGGGATTACTCGAAGGCTCCAAGCAGCTCATTGCCGGGTATCCCTTTGAGTTCGTCTCCAGTTCGCTGAGTGTGATTTGTAAGTATATATATTATTTTATTTATAATTTATAATGATGAGTAATGTTTAATAACAGGCTCTCAGGCCTTGGCCTCCAATAAAATCAAGTCCAAGTTCATGCCAGACATCAAGAAAATGAACTTTCAGCTGCAGACCGCTTGTACCAAGACCAATTTCCCGTTGACCAAACCTGAGGAAATGTGGAGGAGTCCCCTGTTTGATCCCACGAAGAAGGTGGTCATCCTGGCCACAGGATGGACCACCACAGTGAATGGATCCGATACAATTGATTTCTTCTCAAAGGCCTACAACTGTCGTGGAGATGTCAACTTTGTGGTGAGTTTAAAGACTATTACATCAAAGGAAATCTAAGATTTATTAAATACAGTATAGTCTGATAAGGCTTGGGAATATATAAGCTTTAGTTACATAAAGGATTGCATCTCATGTTAGGGGATTTCTTATATAAATTTCAAGTGAGCTGCTTAAGTTTATTATTAAACACAAAACAGGGAATGAAAACCAAGAGTCATGGCTTTAAAGAATAAACTATACACTATAGAAATGTATATATAATTATATATTCAATTACAGGCCGTAGATGCTGCTCGGTTTGTGGATACCCTGTACACCTGGTCGGCCTTCAATACGGAGGAAATTGGCGAGAATATAGCCCTGGGCCTGGTTAAGCTCTTGGACCTAATGCCCGTATCGAATATCCATCTGATTGGCCATAGTTTGGGTGCACATATTGTGGGATCTGCTGGGCGACACCTCCATCGTCTTACTGGACAAACTATACCCAGGATCACCGGTTTGGATCCTGCCAAGCCTTGCTTCAACGAAGGCGAAGTCCTGTCTGGTTTATTGCGTGGCGATGCCGATTTCATTGATGTAATCCATAGCAATTCCGGTGTTCTGGGCAAAAGGGATCCCCTTGGAGATGCGGACTTTTATCCAGGTGGATTGGATCCCTTGCCCGCAGGCTGCTTCTCGGTTGTCTGTGCCCATGCCAGATCCTGGCAATACTTTGCGGAGACTGTGTATCCCGGAAATGAGCGCAATTTCTTGGCCACTCGCTGCAGTTCCCTGACTCGCCTCCGGGATTTCCGCTGTTCCGGCGAAGAGGTGCCCATGGGTTATGCTGTGCCCCGGAATCTCAAGGGCAACTTCTTCCTGGAGGTTAGTGCCACCTCACCCTTTGGCATCCGTGCCTCCATTGTGCGATCGAGCCACCTAGAGGAATGTGGTTTGTGTCCCAATGGCACCTCGAGCACCACCCCCGAACCGATCACCTCAACCACGGCCAAGTCGGGATCCTTGTTTGGTCTTGGCTAGAGTTGACGATTTTCCTATGGGTTTTGTTTTTTATCGGTGGATTGTTCCGTTCCGATTTACATATATATATGCATAAAATTCGTGTTTAAGTTGCCCAATTAATATTAGCAAAAGAATGAGGCCAAAAGGCATGTCCTAGAATGTGATATTAAGGGATTTGATTAACTAAGAAAGGCTTGCACACACACACCCACACACATTTACTTATCCCCCATGAATAAAAAATAACAATAAACTATTATAGACATACTATTATATATACATAAATATTAAATTGTATAAAGCCCGTTTCGTATTGCTTGAATTTCATATTTAACTCGGAAGCTACTATTTAGCATTTATATTTAAAGTTGATAGCTTGTTACAGTGATTAGATCAGGGGTAAAGTTATATTTTTTCGATCCCAGTTAGCTTTGATTTCTATTTAAAATTTCTATAATTTAACTTGACCATTTTTCCAAGGATTTCATGTAGCTGGAGTGGCCTGAGTTGTAGGGGCACAGTTGCAGGTGGCCTTAAATAGGGGTTCGAAACCGGGCTGTGGAAATGTGTCCTTACGGCGCTTCAGCATTTTGCTAGGTGTTTCTTCCATTTTTTAGTTATATATCATTAGATATCGTTTTAGATCTAGTATTTTGAATTTTAGATCTATTAAATTGAATGTGAGGTCAGAAAGAAGATATTGTTTAGAATAGAATACTGTCTAACAGCTATTCCTTTTATCCTTACGGTTCTTATAAAATTTTAATTGCATGTCTTCTTGATTTTTAAGATGTTTCCTTTTTTTATTTTTTATTTATCACTAGATAATGTATAGTAGTCCTAGTATACCGATTTTTAGAACGATTAAACTGGATTTGAGTTCAGAGGTATGATATTGTTTAGAATACTTTCTATACTGTCTATCATCTATTGCTTTTACTCGGCCTTAGTCTTACCCGTTCTTATATTTTTGAATTGAAGTTTTTATTGATTTTTAAGAAATATCTTCTTGAAATATATTTCAAGTTATAAGTATACCTAACTCTTTGTCCATAGCCTTTATTGGAATAGTATAATCTCATTAAGTGATCAGTTGGTTTAGGTTTAGTATACCTTTTACCCTGTAAAGTATTTGGTTAAATGTTAATTATGTTTAAGTTTTACCTTATAAATTTCGATCCTTGTTGGCCATGATTTTCCTTAAAAAGTATTTCAACAATCCTTTAACTTATACTGAACAATTTACCCAAGGATTTCATGTAGCTGGAGTGGCCTGAGTTGTAGGGGCACAGTTGCAGGTGGCCTTAAATAGGGGTTCGGAACCGGGCTGTGTAAATGTGTCTTTACGGCGCTTCAGCATTTTGCCAGATGTTTATTTCTTTTTTTTTAGTTATTTATTAGTAGATATAGTTTAGAAGACCTAGTATACCGATTTTTAGAACGATTAAACTGGATTTGGGATCAGAAAAAAGATATTCTTTAGAATAGTCTCTATACAGTATAACAGTTTTTACTTTTACACGTTCTTATCTTAAACGTTCTTGATCTTACCCGTTCTGATATATAGTTTGATTTGCAGTTTTTATTGATTTTTAAGAAACATCCGTAATTTAAGTTATAGTCTTTTCTGGAACAGTATAAGCTCATTGAGCGAGCAGTTGGTTAGGGTTTAGGTTATCTTTCGTTGGAATTCTATTTTCCCCTCTAAGGTATTTGGTTATGTTTTAATTATGTTTAAGTTTTGCCTTATATATTTCGATCCTGATTGGCCATGAGTGTGTTCCAGCAATCCTATAACTTATAGTGAAAAAGTTACCCAAGGATTTCGTCTAATTGGGGTGACTTGAGGTGTATCGTCGCAGTATAATATGACAATATCCAACGGTTTAAACCCGGATGGAGTTTCCTTTTTTTAATTATTCTATAATAAATTATTAAATAAATTTTATATATAGAAAATACTCCTTATGGAACAGATTGACTGTTCCATAAGGAGTATTTTCTATATATGTAATAATATATGTGTAAGAATATATGTGTAATATATGTGTAAGAATTATTGTATCATATCTGGTCCCCGATTTCTTAATCAGAAACCATAAATCTTTAACAAATATATATAATATAAATATGGCATTCTAATCCCCTGGATTATCTACCAAAAAGAAACCCCTTGGAGGCTCTGAAACTGAAAGATAAATAACCTGCGGAAAAGAGGCCGCGATGTCGCCACAACAAGCTCTGAGATGTCGCTTGACTGTTGACTCTGGTCGTTGACAATTATCTTCTGACTGGCGCCTAGGTACAGTGGGACCTATGCCCGGATATCGACATGGACTGGACTTTAACTGGATACTAAAAAAGATAAAAAAATGGGACTGGATGTCAGGTGGTTTTCCATCCAGATGAGCTTTAAGGTCAGCCACACGAAGTGGAGAATGTTGTCTGGGGAGAATGAATGATGATTTCATGCGAGTGTTGTTGTCTATAAATATATAGACTTAACTCTTTAATGTACCAGATGTCCTAGATGGATTTGCATCTTTATGGCTGGGAAAGTTGATTTCGATTTCGATTTCTAGATTTTAAGGTGCAATCAATTGGCATGGGATGTAATTGATGGGGGTCAGAACTTATTATTATTATTCCCTGGCATTTATTGATCTGGGTTAAACAGCTTGCCATGAGAATTTTATATTTAAAGCACAGGAAATTATATTAATTATTGTATTTAATTATGTAGCTGTCAAACAGAACTGTCTTCCCTTGTCCTTCACTGGCATCAAGTTCAGGAAATGCCATTGTCCAGATCCAGTTACCTTTTGAACCTGATCTCTCCACTGTGCCACAGTCAATACCCATGGACCCCTTCACCTCAAATCCGCAGCTTCAGACACATCTTTTACTTCATCTCCACCTCCATTTGTATCTCCATCTGCATCTGCATCTGCAAGTGTCTCCGTTTACAGCTTAAGCTGCCAGCTTGACAAATGACTCACAGGCCATATTTCTGAAGCTAGCCTCACTTCAGAAAATTTGTGGCTTAAACCAGGGCTCAGTGACAAAAGCACTGAGGAAAAAAAAGGGAACCCAATTACTTATGTCTTGTAATTAATAAGTAGTTGATTTCAAACCTCAACAAGCTAAGCCATTACTTTTAATGATGAGTATTTGCAACTATTCCTGCTACCTTGATTAGTTCTTATTAATTAAGATTTTAATACAACTCGGGATCCTTGTTTGGTCTTGGCTAAAGTTGAGGTTTTTGCTATGACTTTTTGTTTTGTTTTTTATCGGAGTATTGTTTCATTCCGATATATATATATTTGCATAAAATCCGTGTTTCAGATGCTCAATTAATATTAGCAAAAGAATGTGGCCAAAAGGCATCTCATAGAATGTGATATTGAGGGATTTGATAAATGAAAAAATAACAATAAACTATTATAGATATATTATATATATATATTTAATAATATATAATTGTATTAAAGCCTTTACATACTGCTTGAATTTCCTATTTAACTTGGAAGCTACTATTTAGATTTGATCTTGATAGCTTGTCACAGTGTATTAGATCAAGGGAAAAGTTATACATTTTCGATCCCAGTTAGCTTTGATTTCTACTTAAAATTTCTGTAATTTAACTTGACCATTTTTCCAAGGATCTAATGTAGCTGGAGTGGCCTGAGTTGTAGGGGCACAGTTGCAGGTGGCCTTAAATTGGGGTTCGGAACCGGGCTGTGTAAATGTGTCTTTACGGCGCTTCAGCATTTTGCCAGATGTTTCTTTTTTTACTTAAGATTTTAATACAGAGCTCTCCCCCTATTTTTTCGAGTGCATTTCTGGTGCAGTTTCCGCAGCAGCAGCAGCAGCGAGGCGAGGAAATGATCCATCAAGCGTGTGAGTTATGTACGAATTTTGCAACTTGGCCACATGGTTGGCTGCTTCTCTGGCTCCCTCCCTCCCTCCGATGGCAGTGTGGCTTCTTGGCATCTTGCGGGTTGTAAAGCGGTTGACCCTGGTCAAGAATCGGACGCTCAAAGTGGTTTAATAAACTGCAATTACCTGGCCCAGCCACCCGCCGCTGGAGCGAGATTTATTTTGTGGATTCTCGACTTGCCTCGCCCCCTGGAGACGAGATCTGTCTGGGCCACGCAGTTCAGTTTAGTTTCGGTTTTCAGTTTTCAGTTTTTGCGATAAATAGCGAGCGAAAATCCAGTGGACACAGCATTCGAGTGCCACACTTTTGGAGACGCACAGCGGAAATCGAGAATCGGGATCAATCGAGGACTCTCACACTCAACGGAATCAATCAAAGATGAAGGTGTTCCTGGTACTCTGCGCCCTGGTGGCCTGTGTCTCGGCAGGCATTGTCCGCAGCTCCTCCGGCTGGGGATCGAGTCCTTGGGGTGGCAGCAGCAGTGGCTGGAATAGCGGTTGGTCCTCCCAGCCGCAGGTGATCAAGGTCATCAAGATTGGCGGAGGAGGTGGCTGGAGTGGTGGCAACTCAGGATGGAGCAGTGGCAACTCTGGCTGGGGTGGCAACTCTGGCTGGGGTGGTAACTCTGGCTGGAGCAGTGGCAACTCCGGCTGGGGTGGTGGCAACTCTGGCTGGAGCAGTGGCAATTCAGGATGGAACAATGGATGGTCCAGTTCGGGATCCAATAGTGGCTGGTGGTGAAGCATCCTGCCAGCGAGGGAAGAGAATGACAAAACGCAGAAACTTGCCATCTAAGGAAACCAAGTCCCAATCCCTAATCCCTTATCCCTAACCCTATATCCTATATCCTCTCTGGTTCACACAATCGATGTTGTAATATAAATATACACCACAATATATATAGTTTATAAATATTCCCCTCCATTTTTTTTTGATTGAAATACTCTTTTTTGTATACACAAAAAATAATATTAATAAAGCTGCATATATTGAACTGCACATAAGATATATTCCTAGATGATATAGTTGGTGTGTCTGCTTTGTTTGTTTCTTTAATTTTTTAGCTTCTTAATTTTTTACAAAAATCCATAAATTTAGCATCTTGCGTGCTGCATTTATTTTTCCATTATTTTATGATTGGTTGCCGCATAAATGTGCATTTTGTATGGATGATCTTTTGCATTATTGATCGTTAGCAATTAACATTCTAAGATCGAGCATTGAGTGTGCCTCGGCAATTATTATTATTTTATGGATATTTGCAAATGATTGTGGAACATGATCATGATCATGATGATGATGTGGCCAAGGTGCTGAGGCGACTGGAGTTCACCAGAGATCATGGAAACAGTGGCTATGGATGAGTCTATATAATTAAATGGAAAGGTTTTAAACTTAAACAGGAAGTGAAGGGTACTTATTTTCATGGCCTAAATAAATTAAATTAATCATTTATATTAACTAGATATATAAATTATAGTTCTAGGCTTGAGTTATTGAATGTTTCTTTTGTTTTAGAAACAATTAGAAACAGCAAATGTTTTAAATTACTTTAATGGTTTGGGTTTTAAATATATTATATTTGTATCAAGTACATGTAAGCACTTTTATTTTATTTATTAGTGAATTACTTACTTAATTACTTAAAATTTAATTATGTATTTAGTATTAAAGTCATCTTTGCATTTCCATTTGAACCTATCTCTAGTTTTTCCACTGTATGCTGACTTTTGCTTCATTGACAGAGGTCAGCTTGTGGTCTTGGCTCTGAAGAAGATATATATAAATGAATATATATCTTTAGAGATATATGCCTGTCTATATACTCGCTGATACATCAGACATCGCCACTGCTGGTGGCAGCAGAAATTGATGAAATTTATGGTAAGTAATGCACTTGAGCATGAATATAGCCATGTTTGCATGGTAATTGACATTGAACTAGTGTTTGCTTGGGTGTATGAGAGTGTGTGTTGAGGTGTGTGTACTGAGTGTGTGTGCCAGTGCAACAGAGTCGTGTCTCAAGCATTTACCAATTTTCAATTCAACTCGGCGGCTGCTGTATAAATGAAGATTAATTGCCGCAAATATTGCATGGCAAATAGGCAAAAGACGAGAAAACGAAAACTAAAATGAGCATAAAATATGAAATGAAAATGATTGGGGAAAATCATTTGTTTATTAAACTTATTTGAATGCTCTGTAATAAAGTTAATTATTATTATTTAAGGTCTTTTGAATCACTCTTCTTGTATATATATATTTAAATTAAATTGTTTTATGACTGAATATTCCCATTTATTCTAGCTAAGTTATTCTCTATTCGAACAAGTTCAAGTGTGAACCATAAATTGCTCACTTCAAAATTCTTTAAAAGTAATAATTAATAATGAAGAATTCTACAACAAATTGAGGGAGGGGGCTGGCCATAGATGGTTCGAAAACATATTAACAACAAATTAAATATGTTTAGAATTTTTGAATTGGTAGACAAATTGCTTGGTGTTCTAAGCAACAAACAAGTGTGTGTGTTAACAATTAATGATGCAGCCATGGCTCAGCGGTTTTATATTTTTTTTGTATTTTCCAAGTGGTTTTCGCTTGGTTTTGGTTTTGGCTTTGGCTTGGGCCCGGTGGCGTATGCGCGATATTCCCATTGCAGCTCATTGCGTATACGCCGAGTGCGCCATCGTACTTGATACTTGAGACTCGAGACTCGATCGCATTGTCTCGCATTGTGGAGTGCAGTTCTCAACCTTCCTTTGGGCTGCCAGTCGAGGGATGTTTGGGCGTCGGAGATGACTCAGCCAATGTTCTGGCAATCAGTTCCGCAGCGTGAGCTATAAAAACCAGGCCTGGTTCTGGGCCAATTCATCAGTGGCATCGAGCCTCCTCCAGCAGCAGTTGCGCAACAGTTGCGGTTCCATATCGTCTTCACATAATATTCTATACACTTTTTTTTGAGTGCCCAAAGGATTAGCTCCTGAGATGCGTCACGCTTTGATCCTTGTGTTTGTTTGCGGTCTCCTGATCGCCTTTGCCTCGGCGGGTCTGCTGGGCGGTGGAGGAGGTGGTGGAGGCGGTGGCGGCTACGGAGGAAGCGGCGGTGGTGGCGGTGGCCAAGGAGGTTATGGTGGAGGCGGTGGCCATGGACAGAAGAAGAACGGAGGCGGCCAAGGAGGCTGGCAAAACGGAGGAGGAGGTGGTGGCCAAGGAGGCTGGCAGAAGAATGGAGGCGGAGGAGGCGGTGGCCAAGGAGGCTATGGAGGCGGCAATCAAGGTTTGTAGGCCCCAAAAGGATTTCTCTTCAAAAACTTTGAAGGGAAATACTTATATCCTTCCAAACTTAATTAATTCATTAAAATATTCCCTAGGTGGCCATGGAGGCGGCGGTGGTCAGGGCAGCTATGGCGGCGGCCAAGGTGGACATGGTGGTGGCAGCAAATCCCTGGCCGGTAATCGTGGCAGCTCCGTGTCCTGGCAGGGCGGCAATGGAGGCGGCGGCGGCGGCGGCAACAAGCATGGCGGCCATGGTGGCAACGGAGGCGGTGGCAAGTACGGCGGCGGCGGCAGCGGCGGAGGTGGTGGTGGCCACCATGGCGGCGGTGGCTGGTAATCAGCTTCTCCATTCCAAGCCAGAATCCACAAGCGAGAGCAGCTTATTCGCCGCTGACCCGCTGACATGTGTTCCCAATGCATAGATCCTTAACCCTCCTCCTACCTTGTTTTTTTTTATTGTAAATCAAAAGTTTATAATGAACTATTACTTTTCCTATTTCTCCCTTTTTTTTGTGCACTAATAAAACAATATATTTTGAATTTTATAAAAAATTTGTGACCGCTTTTATTGGGTTAAGAAAGCAGCATTTGCTGATTAGGCTTTTATAAAATTTTGTAATTCTTTGTAATTTGTTGAGAATTTGAATGAATTCGTAGAAATCTATATACATTTATATATTTAATTATGATTCACTTGAAATCTGAATACCAAAAGGAAATAATAAAGTCTTATGTCTACGAAAAGACCTGAAATATTCGCTTTCTTGAATTCTGTAATTATATATTATATTATATTTTTATATGTTATTTTTTGGGACAAATCAAAGTTTAAAATACTCATAACTAAGTCAAAAATGCCTTAATTTCAATTCAGAAATCGCTCCTGTGTTAGTTTTTTGGCTATTAACAAAACTGCATACTAAACTTACTATTTATAAAAATCAACATTTTTGTCGATTTTTGCAAATTTTAACAATGTAACCCCTTATAAAATTTTCAAAAAATTAAAAAGAAAAATAGTTTTCTTTCCGACATGGCTAGAACGATTCGCCTGTTAATGCTGATCAAGAATATATATGATTTATAGGGTCGGAAATGGCTCTTTCACTAAATAAATATAATAATACCCTCTGAAAGGGTATAACAAAGAACGGTTGCTATTTTATTTTATAAATAATATTTCAATCTATTTTATATTATTTTAAAATACCAAACACATCTATATTATTTGTTTAACTAAATATTTTAAGTTGCAAAGCGAATAATTAAGGAATTATATCTTCCTGCACCTGAAATATATTTCCAAAAGTACATGACATGTCCCCAGTACCACCCAGCAGAAAGAAATCCTTCAAGATTACGTTCTCGTAAGATTTATTCACATATATATTTCTGGGACATACAACAAAGAAAAAAAAAAGAGGATTGGTTAAAATTAGGGCAGAGAAATGTTATATACAAGCTGAGTAGTGGGATCTAGTGTCGCCTCGTTGCCAGTTTTTTGCCAGATGTGGTCCAAGTGTCCTGGTGTCCAAGCTTTACCAGGACGACCAGCCACCGCCTCCTCCGCCGCTTTTCCAGCCGCCGCCGCCACCACCGCCAGAGGACCAACCGCTGCTAATCTTGCTGGGCCAGGCCGAGGAGGAGCTGCCGCCCGATGACCATCCAGAGCCACCACTCTTCCAGCCGCCTCCGCCGCCGCCACCACTCTTCCAGCCACCGCCGCTGCCACCCAAGGACCAGCCGCCGCCGCCTCCTCCGGAGGACCAGCCACCTCCACCACCGCCGCTCAAGCTGGACAGAGCCTGGGACTTCCAGCCCGAGAGGCTGGACAAGGCGCTGGACCAGCCGGAACCGCCGCCAGAGCCAGATTTCCAGCCGGAACTGCCGCCGGAACTAGGCCAACCTCCAGAGGACCAGCCACCGCTTCCACCGCCGCTCTTCCAGCCACTGCCTCCACCTCCAGAGGACCAGCCGCCGCTTCCACCGCCGCTCTTCCAGCCTCCTCCACCGCCGCCACTCTTCCAGCCGCCACCTCCACCGCCCGATGAAGGCCAGGCACTGATGATGACCTTGCTGCCGCCACCGCCGCCTCCGGACCAACCTCCTCCTCCGCCAGAGGACCAACCGCCTCCTCCGCCGCCGCTGCTCCAGCCATGGGGCTTGCCCTGGACAGCGATCAGTCCCAGCACCACCAGCAGCCCGAGCAGGCCAAGGCGTCGTGTCATCGTGGTCGTCGTCGTTGTGGATTGCATCTCCGCCGCTGCCGTGCACTAACTAGTTCCCCACTGCAGCCACTCTCGGCTATTTATACCCCTCGAAGATCCCAAGATTCTAAGCTCAACGGAGTCTGAGTCTCAGACTGAGTCTGAGTCGGGTGCCTCGTATAATCAGATGTAATTGCCAAAACTGCCACAGAGACCGCTTACAATGGCCAATGCTCGGGGCTGGAAGGGGGACTGGACGGGGTGGTGCTCGATGGTGGTGCGGGGTTCAGCGGCACATCGGCTCGGATCTCGGATCTCCTCGGTTGAAGCAACGCCACTTGATGGGCCTCATTATGCCAGCGCCACCGTCAGTTTCAGTTTCAGTTTTAGCTTCAGTTTAAGCTTCACTTTTAGCTTCAACTTTCGATTTCATACGCTCAGTTTTGGGCCCACGTAGACTCCCCATTCTTGGGCCAGAGAACGCCTCCAGGTGGAGCACCTGCGTCGGCACTTAATAGGTGAATAGCACTGGACAACAGAGAATGGGAAAGCCCTTAAGTATAGGACCAAAAAAGTAGGTAATGTTATTATAAAAGATCTTCAAATATGGTTTTTGGAAACTGTTTTTTAGCAGTATAAATTGATTTTAAAGTAAATAAATTGGTGAAGGTAAATATTTCTTATATTATTTTAGCAACATCAAGGTATTTTTAAAAACAAGTTAATTAAACATAAATATTCTTACAAATTAACTAAAGTTCTTGCTAAATAGTTTAATTTAAATAGTACAAATGGAAGAGATACAACTCTCTAGACGCCTGTTTTTGAGTCTTATTTTCGGTTTTTTTTTATATAGGAAGGTATAAAATACTAAACTTAATGACATTAATACAATGTTATCAAGCAAATATTAAAAAACAAACAAAAAATTATTAAACTTAAAAGAATAGTCTGAAATATAGTTTTCAAAGCCCTTCTCTACTGAGCTTTGCTTAACAAGAGGACCCTAGTAAAACGGAGCTGAAATAGATCAATTATAAGGCTAGATGTTTAGGAAATCTACTCATATATTTTATGCATAAAATATATATGAATTTATTATATATAAATATTTAATATATGATTAGCTTAAGGTGTGCTCAAAATTTCAAGTAAAAATTCGGAAAACTCTTCCAGTTCTGAGACACGTTTCGGGAGAAACTAAAAAGTAAGAAACATTCAAGAAATACCTCAGTGCAAGAGCGTTAACTTTGAGCTTCTATAACTCATAATATAATTTTAATTTAATGATGATAAAATACTTTAAAATTTGTCAAAAGTTAACCAACACTTACAACATTTACCTTTACCTTTACGCTTACTTAACTGCATTTAATGATGTACCAATAACCTGCTCCTTTTAATTAATTAAGCCAATCTCGCTAAACTGGAACCTATTTGTTTTTTCTTGTGGTCTAGTGTAGCCCAGAGCCGATACCGCATAATGTTCATCGATTTATTAGCTTGCCATTTTTTTATTATTATTTTTTTGTTTTTTATGAAGCAACCGCAAACTACTTAATTGAGTTCAAGTGCCGGCAGCTTAAGAGCCCGCCGGGGATCGGTCTTAGCCATCGGTTCTTAATGTCTGCCCATTATTCAGAATGCCTTTTTGCAGCTGATTTGGTCTTGGAATAGGAACTATGGACTAGATCTCGATATCGGGGCTTAGCTCGAAATTGGAATTGGAGATTTCGGTGGCAGCTGCTGGCTCTTGCGTGTTTGTCTTGGCCAAAAGTGCTACCGTGCGATTGCACATAATTCGTGCCTGTCTCTCCGGCAAATCGGGTCGCCCGGCGATCAATCAATCAGTCAGTCAATCAATCGAGGCATGAATTGTTCGGGTGCAGCAGCAGCATCAGCTTATGAGCTGGCACACAGAGAGAGATCGTCAAAAGGTGTCGCCTCCACAATGCCACGAAGATGCAGATCATTGCCTCAAAAAACCACATAGTACCCCCAATGAATTATAGCTCTTTTCAAAAGCCTATGTAGATTTCCAAACTGACATTTCTTGTTGCCCCAAAAGAATGGTAATTGTTTCGCTCTAGAACCGCTCCAACCTTTTGGCTTTCGCACGTTTTTGAGGCTTTTGCGAGTGCATTTTAATTCATGGGCGGCTTCAAATTCAAAAAACCCCAACAAAAACGCAAACCCCAGATTGATCGATCTTTGGTAGACAATAAAAGTGCACCTTTGCGCAAGTTCTCAGATCTCGGAGCGATTTGCCTGTCCCATTATGTGGCACTGGTGGCAGGTGATGACCTCAACTTGGCCATTGGGTCAGAGCAGGAAGCAGCGATCCGTAAACCAGTTTTGCGAACTCCCCTCACCAAAAATAGACTCTCATTAAAAATGGAAATTCTTCTTATTTTTTTTTGCATAAATTCTAAACAAACAAATACCACTAAACATATAAAAAAAAAATGATTAAATCTTAAAGCTAGCGGGAGGAAGGATCTCAACTCCCTTTAATCTCTGGAGGCCTCCCTCTCGGCGTAGCTTTTTGGTTGGCATTTTGAACTATTTTCTGGGACAGAACTTGAGTGCTGATGATTACCAGCCCTTGTTCCAGCCACCGGACTGGGCGCCACCGGAGGACCATCCTCCCGACTGGGCGCCAGAGTAGCCACCGGAGTAGCCACCGGTGTAGCCGCCGCCATTGGAGTAGCCGCCGGAGTGTCCCTCACTGATGACCTTCACGATGACCACCTTCTCGACGGGCCTGGGAGCAGAGTATCCACCTCCACCGGAGTATCCACCGCCACCGGAGTATCCACCGCCACCGGAGTATCCACCGCCGGAGGACCATCCTCCAGACTGGCCGCCAGAGTATCCGCCACCGCCGCCGCCGCCTCCTCCGAGCTTGCCGCCCAAGCCGCCGCCAAGACCACCACCAAGACCGCCGCCGAGACCGCCTCCAAGACTGCCCAGTTTGCTCTGCAGCAGCTGGCCAATGCCACCAGCTCCACCACCACCACCACCGCCGCCGCCGCCAAGGAGACCGCCCAGGGAGGCGTGGCCGACGGACAGGATGGTGGCGAGGATCACCAGAATGCAGGCAAAGGGCTTCATCGCGAGTGCTAAGTGGATCGGTGTCAAACAGCTGACCAAAACTAATTCCAACAGTTCCACAGCACGCACCTTTATACCCCAAAAAAAATCGATGGATCGATTGGTGGCTCTGCAGGAGCGAGATGGGGCGATGATCGGCATGATGTTGGATCGGACGCGTTGCCCAATTAGAAGCCATTGATAGCAGATGAAGCAGTTAAGGTAGATGGAATAGCTGAAGCAGCATATTAAAACACTGAGAGAAATGCAGAGTATTAATACAAATTTATATGCTGTAGATTTAACAAGTCTACTGTTAGCAAGAACATCTCTCTATGGTGATGGTAGTCTTATCAGTTTACTACATATAATTTATTATTAATTAATTATAAATCTTTGTTAAGGATATCATTGAGATGTTAGATCTTTAAGCTATTTGCTTATTTTCTAATGATGGTATACAATATTTAGTCTCTGTTTCCGGTTTCATTTATCTTCACATATATATTAATTCTTTCTACTTCAATAAGTACAAGAATCAGTATAATTTCTGTTATTACATTTATATTGTTTTCATAGAAAATACTATACTCTTGTGATATTTTCTGATAGTGTATTTGTATTTCATAATAACCCACATTCGGTTATGCTTGCCGGTGCGGCGGTTCTTTTGTTTGTCTATGCTAATCTGTGCGCATGCGCGGCTTACTTCCAAACCCGGCTCGTCTTCAACTCCTCATGTTTGTGGCTCCTCAAGTCCGCACAGTGGGATGGGTTAAGGTGCTAAAATATATCAAGGCAAATGGGATTGGGAAATATATAAGCATACATATGTAGTAATGATGGAGTATGCACTAGGCAGTGGATGCGAATGATACTTATTGAGATTTGAGTCATAAATTCCACAAAGAAATTTAATAGAGATTCTTCTAATGACATATAATTAAAGTGTTTGAAATACCTTATTAGATCTTTAAATACTTTTATTAAACATTAATTTATATAGACTTCTTAAGAGACATTAGTTCTTGTACATATTTATTATACGTTACCAGTTCTCGAATTATTTGTATATATATATATTGAGATATATATATTTCCAGTGATTTGCTTAAATACTTAAGAGTTAATGATGCTCCCACTGTGCTCATAGCCGAAAGTCAAACAAATTATCAGCATTTAATCACCGCAGCTAGCGGCGGGCCACAATGGCCCAGCAATCAACATTTATATCAATGTTTTGGCAGTTGGTCAGCAAAGAGAGAGATGGACATAGAGACGGAGACAAAGACAGAGGCTCTTAGCCAAAAAAAGAAAGAAAATCAGCAGCAGAAGCAGAAGCAGCCCAAAGTGCCAAACTGATTAATGGGCCTCAGGCTCAAGAGTCGTGAGCTCCCAGGGTCGGTGCTTACTTCAGGTAGAACTAAAGCAGGAAGATGGCAAGAACTATTAACAAGTGGCTCTATGAGGCCTATTCAAATACAGTGAATAATGCTTAAGGTGGGCTAGCAACTTCTTCCTTAAGAAGCTCTTAACAAATTACTACCAATGAGTAATGAGTGACAAGTTTATTCAGCACTTTTAAAAAACTAAAAGACCCAATATATTAAGTTTACTCCAAGAAATAGGTTATAAATATATCTAGTTACAAAATGTACTCAATTCTATATCCACTGTATATATACTGTAAGGAATATCCCACATCATCGCTTATTATTAATACGTGAAACTGGTTGGAACTCTGGCTGTGATTCTATTTCTATGCTTCGGTTTGGCATATATTTGCATAGCCGCTCGCCACGACGGATGTGGCGGATTGCCTGGGAATTTGCTTGGTCTCAGTTTTTGTCTAGTTACTAGACGGTACTAACCCGAAAAGCAAATAGCAATTTAAGTCCCACCTAGGGTTTGCTCTCCCACAAACTTCACCGATCCTAGGGTTCAATGCACTCGCTCCCCTGGACACACGCCCGAGAGACATTTGAAGTGAATTTATGCGACAGCAAAACGAAGACAGTTGCGGCCTCATCTCAAATTTGGCATTTACATACTCGTTTTTTGGTCTATGAATATTCATAATAATCGCATTATTCGATTATGGTTCGTTCACTATTCCAAGCTGTAAGCTGCCGACAGATATTTGTGGTTATTTATCAATTGGTTGGGAAAACAACAAGCTCAAGAATGGATACAGTGAGTTTCTGGGTCTTAGGACAGCTCTAAACTGAATGAGTGCCACTCAAGACATGAAGCTCAATTCGAATCTTTATTCAGAAGTTGATTTCCTCGTTGCTTAAATCAAAATTGAAGGAAGGTTGTATAAGAATTAAAGTGATTGCTTGGCTATTAAAGAAGTATAAAGAGGGAACCATAATATTGATATTACTTTTATATGTAGAAATATAGTTGTACTGTTTGATATCTTCATAATTAATTAATTGCCAGAAGTTGTTAACTGGTTTTAATTACTTTTTTTGTAAGAGTTTCCGTCAAATGTTTAATGATGTAATCCAAGGAAGTTGGGAAACTTATCACCAAACAACAGAGATACCCTTCATTAATGATTACTTGTTTAGTTCTGATTTTGAATATTCCCATCTACCTGTAATAACACCGAATTCTGAGTTACTTAATTAATTAATTCCAACTTCGTTTAGCTGCCCATTGTTAAGGCCTCGCATTAATTTAACACAAAAGCTTCTGGTTTGCTCGAGAGATCGAGATCGGGTCAGTTCCGTTTGGATTTTAGATTTTGGAAGATCTCCGAGACTCCCTCCTCCCACCCAATGCCAAAATACTACCAGATATATACATATATATAGAATACATATATCTGGCTTACAATAGAAGCCAGGTAGCTGTAATAACCGAAGCCGCCAAACTGCGAGTATTTCCCATCGCCTCGCCTTCGGACATCTGAAGGCTTCCATTAAAAAACAACAGAATTAACATATTTAATTGCGAGGTATGTACCCAAACGGAATTACCAGTGCAATAATAAACATTTGCTGCCGGAGTTAGTGCATAGAAGTTGAAACCGAAATCGACACCGAAAAACTTGGCTCAAAAAGTGAAGGGAAATGCATTATAATTCAAGGGATGGAGGCGGGGCCAGAGCCAAATGGGAAGAGTCATCCCAGCTGGGAGGGCATTAAGACTAAAATTGATGACACTCATAAATTAGTTGGCCATATGCATGGGCTCTGGCTAATAACTACTAATATCGCACTGGTCCGGCATTAATTCAAATCCGCGCGAATTACCCAGTTGCAATCTCCCATTCGCCTCTTATTTTACGATGCCACTCTATTGCATACATATAGTATATAGTATATATATTTAATTTACACAGCACAGATGCTCGTACATATGCAAAAGGCTAATTGATGGCCGACTGGCTCATATAAATATAAGCTAATTACACTGTCTTAGACCGATAGTCGTAAAACATCGATACGTAATTGCAGGGTAATCGATTGCATTCGTTCATCAATCACAGAAATCGTCTTGGGGATCGTGGGGAAGAAACTGAACCAACCCATCGATGAGAATATCTAGCAAAAGGTATTATATACAAATTACTAGAGTATATATTAAAAACTGTATTTGTTGTATAACTCTTGTCCCTGATTCTACTCGAGGAAGTACTTAGTACCTACCTTCTACCGAGACCCATTAAAAAGCCAAGGTGCTTGAGAATATATTTATAAAGTGTTGCAATAATTTCTGACTAACATGCCTTACTGCTTCATTGACAAAATTAATTTCAAATAAATTTCCAAATCAAAGACATTCCGCTGCAAGATAATCTCTGAGATGTGCATGAAATGTTTGGTAAAGACTTAAGACCGATAGGCGCCTAGTAAACAAGTTTCTGGGCAAATGCAAAAACAAACTTAAACAGGTTGACGCACATGTACGCATAATTTGCCCCACCGAGATTGGTGTAAATAAAAGATCTATATTTCCCCCCCATTTGTTTATAAACAAACATGCGAATCGTAATTCCGCTGGCCCAAGGCAATCCCTGGTAACCGAATACCCAGGCCCAAAGGCATATCCAAACACTCATGGATCGCCTCAGAGACTCGGCCGAGACTCGTCGACGCCGCAACTTCATAATTATCGAATGCCGAATGAGAAAAAGACAAAGAAAATCGGCGGAAGTAAGGTAAGGCAAAGCGAAGCCCAGCTTAAAAATCAATATGGACAATTGGTGAAACAAAACAAAACGGAAAAAAAAAGCAAAGAAACGAATGTATTTTCATACAAATCATTGACATCCCATTAAGTGTTCAACAGCGCATGTTTGTCTTTATGGAGTTGTCAAGGATGGGGCTTCCTTTCCTTAGATTTTCCTAATTATGCTCTCACTTTTTTTCCCCTAGTTCTGCACTTCAGCTTTCGCTTTCTGTGGCAGCGACTTGCAATGACCTTGAACTTCATTAATTCCCTCCCAAGGGCAGGCCGTAAGGTGCAAAGTTGTAAACAGGTTTCGTTCGTTCGTTCGTTGTTCGGGCGCTTTCCGCAAACGAAAGACTTAGGCAACGAACTTGGCGAAAGCGACACCTGGCGCTCAGGTTGCCAAAGCTGCAGCTTTCGCTGGACTGCAATTATTATTACTTACTTTTCTTAAATTATACACTATTTTAAGTTAAATGCGTCTTAAAAATAAGTTGAAAAATCGTAATATTCCTAATTTTCCAGGTGAAATTTGATTTATTGCCAAAAGAAACAACTACACAGTGTTTTCTTGGTCTTTAAATATTTTTTAAGCTTGTCTGCCAAATGGTTTAGAAATTCAAAATAAAATTAGGATCTCTGTTAGCTTCACAAAAGCTTAGTTAGGTATTCAACCACTTAACAGCAAAGTCCATAGAATTACATGCACTTTTTATCGCTCAAAAGATTCGCCTGTTAAAGCTGATCAAAAATATATATGCTTTCTTCTGCAAGATTCCTGAAATCGAAATTTTTATATTCCCTCCCATTGAGTACACACTTAATTTTCATATAAAAAGTTTATGTAAAAACAAATGTTATAGTCAAAAGAACATAGACAAAACATACATAAATATATATAAAATATATATATTAATATATAAACGTGCAAACATCAAGTTCTAAACATCATAAAACATTGTGTGATATAAATTTGTAAAAAGTTATTTAAAAAAAAATCTCTTACAGCTAATTAAAAACTCTCCATCCGTCGAAAAAAAAGGTGACAGGATGGAATCCTTTGAATCCTTTCGGTGTGTGCTGGTTTTTGTGTGACAATCTTTGGGTGCATTTTTGTTGTGTTGTTTTAAAACTTATCTAGGTGCTAAAAATGAGTTAAGTAAGAAGCCAACAAGAAGCGTGAATAATCTAAGGACCATTTCAGTAAATAATTTGTGGGAGTGTTACCATAGAAATCCCTGTGTTTTCCTCTGAATTCTGAACAAATCTAGGTAATTTTAAAAGGATATCCATTGATGTCTTGCTTCAAAGCTAGGAATTCGTTGCCCAATCTGGGCATAGATCAATTTCAAGCCAAGGTTGATAGGGGAGAGATTTCTGTGGCATGGACCATAGATTACCCACTCTTCACCTTTCACTTGGCGGTGGCATAGGCATCGTGACTCTTGTGGAACACATGGCGCAGCACATCTCGCGTGGACCGCCGGATGCTGTTCCTCAGCGTGTGTTTCTTCTCGTTGGTCAGCTGATCGATGGTCATGTACTCCGTTTGGGCGACACTTGAGCGCAGCTTCATCGTTCGCTCACTGGTATCAATGATGGATATATCGGGCAGGCCGGGCTCCATCTCCGCCTCTGACACGGCCGCCTTTTGGGGTCTCCGGCGCAGACTGTGCCGGATGCTGGTCAGTATGTTGTGATGCTCTCGGATCTCCTCTGGCTTCTCGGGCGACGTGTGCTGCGTGGGATGCATCAGGCGTCGTATGGACTTCCTTATCATGCCCTTCATGCCACCCCCGGTGGAGGTCTTCACGTCCCCGGACTTGCCTGACTTACTGGATCCTATGGAGTGGAGGGACTCCTTGCTGGCAGCCTTGGTGGGCAAAGCTGCCGGTCTGTAGGCCCTAACGAAGCGTGCGGGAGCCTTGAAGTCCACCAGATCATCGGGCTCTTCGTCGGACTCGGATGCGTAGGCCACATCGGCCGCAGAGTGATCCGCCTCCTTGTCCCCCTCCAGAAGGTTCTCCTCCTGCTCTAGGAGCTTCTCTTTCTCCTGCAGCTCTTCCTTTTGCTTCTCTCTCTCCATGAGCTTAACCCTCTCTTGGAGCTTCTCCCGGAGTTGTTCGTGCAGCTTCTCCTGCAGCTTCTCGCGTTCCGACTGCTTCTCTCTCTCCAATAGCTTCTCCCTCTCCATCCGTCTCTCCTGCTCCAGTTCTCTTTCCCGCTCCATCTGCTGCCTCTCCTGCTCCATAGCCTTATCCTCTTCGCCTTGTTCTTGCTCCCGCTGATCCACCTCTGGCGCCTCGCTTATCTCGGTGAGAGTGCGTCGCCGGGTGCAGACCAGACGCCTCTCCACTTGTGATTCAGCCGTGACTACCTGCTGCATCATTAGTTCCTGGGAGTCTGTCTCCATCACCAGCGATACCTTGGGCGACACCAAGTCCAGGCTCTTCCTTGCTACATCCCTCTCCAGCACAACACCGTTCTTCCTCAGCTTGGCCTCGTTGATGCTGTTCTCCAGTTCCAGCTGATAGCGATCCAGCTCCTTACCAATGTCCATTGTGGACTCCTCGCTAATGGCGCCCAGCGATCTCTTGGGAGCCGGCACTGGTGAGAAGACTAGCTTCTCGGCCAGCAGTTTGCTGGGCGTTAGCTGGGCCAGCGACAGGCCATGGAAATCGATGCGATAGCCCACGTTGGGAGCAAAGGGCAGGCCGATCTTCAAGCTGGTCGGCAGTGGCTCCTCGGTATCCCGCTCGGCTAGAGCTGGATTAGTCACCCCGGCTGGATTACAAGCGGCGGCGGAAGCCTCACTCGGTCGATGAATCTCGAAGGGATTAAGCGAAGCCGGTGCATCGCTTCCTCGCAAATTTAGAGCCGGATTCACGAAGCCCTTGGAGGGTGTGGTGGCCAAACGGATGACCTGGAAAGCGTTGTGAATGTGTAAATGTAATTAATCAATTAATAAATTTGTAACTTGAACACTGCTTACCTCGTATGGATTAAACTGCTTCTCTGGCAGCTCCAAATTAAGGCCAGGATTCTCGAAGCAGGCTGGCTGCTGCTCTCGCTTCTTTTTCTTTGGCGGCTGACGCAGGACCTCAAAGGGATTCGTGGGCAGCTGTACCTGCTGCTGCTGCTGCCGCTGCTCCTGCTTCTCAGCCAGATCTGCTATGGACTTGACCTCCAGGCCGGGAAAGGGATTGCTATTCTCCTTGGCCAGGCGTCGGCGGCCAATCAACTTTTTCGGCGTAGAACTAAATGCGGCGTTGGTGAAGCAGGACTCTGACGCCACAACAGCGGCAGCTGCATCCTGTCGCACCTGGATGCCCCTTTCCGGGGGTTGTTGCTGCGTCGGAGGCGGGGGAGCGGCCGTCTCCCTTTTGCGCTTGCGCGGCGTCTCCGTGAACACTAAATCAGCTATGCTCTTGGTCTCCAACATGGCTTCGGTACTTTTCTTTGTACAATAAACTAGGCACTGGATTAATTCAACGCAGCAGGCGACATTAAAAAAAACAACGAAAACTCAATTTGTTTAGCTGCGCGTCTATTTGAAAATTCAGATTTAGTGGCTAACCAACACTAAACACGGACGTTTGTAAAAGTTATCGATATAATAATATATTTTCTTGAGCTAAAATATCGCCACTGTACGATGTATCATCTCTAAGTTCAGCGCGTTGCGTGTTGCCAACTATTAAGTATTTACGCTTACCAACACTAACGCCGCCGCTGCTTAAAATTCCAACATTTGAAAAACCCAGTAATAAAGCGCAGCTGCTGCGCAAGAAACTGACATAAAACTTCGATAAAAAGCACTAAATCCATTGGATCTGTGCGTGCCGTAGCCTCCGAAATTCAACAAGATGTCCAGCTGCGCGTCGAGGCAGCGGAAAACGGGGAAATCCTCGCGCATTCCGCCGCAAGCCAGGGAATACATTTCGGAAATGGCCGAGGATCGGGAGCTGGAACGCTTCATGGCCCTGTCCTCGACAGCGAGCAGTGGAGCGAGTGGCAGCCTCCACACCTGCGCCGTGCGTGTCACTGTATCAAAAGAGCGTACTGCGGGCTCTCGGCCTGGAGCCCCTGGCCACAGAGCCCGCCGTCCCAGGAGCAGGGAGGACCAGACTGAAGAAGCAGAAGAAGCACCTGAAGAGGCCCTCTTGCAGCTGCCAGTATCTCCCACGGGCGAAAAGGCAGCGAAGTCAATGAAAAGCCAAGAGAATTCGCCCGACGCGGATAGCTATCGCATTATTCCGATTGTGCTGGTCGACGATCAGTGCAAGCCTCGTCCAGTCGCTGCCACGCAAACCATGTCCCTTTCCGTGGAGGACCTGCGCACACCCACCAAGCTGCCTGCAGAGATGCACACAAAGAAGACGCAGACGCCGGAATCTGCTCTCAAGTCACATAAGCGCCTGGAATGGGATCCGGCGGCCGACGTTGGGTACTACAAGCGAGCGGTGTCCACGAGTAATATCAGCACGCTGGAGCGTTCCGTTCTGGAGGAGTGCGGCTGGCGCCAACCGATGCAGCAGCAGCAGCAGCGGTCCGAGACGGACTTGGATAGATTGCAGCGTCACGAGGGCGAGGAAAAGACAGGGACGCCCATGCAGGAGAAGACAACTGTACCGCTAGCATCCAGTACTATGGTGAGCCGCCAGGTGGCATCCGCAGGCGCCTCAAGAAAAGCGGATTTGTATAGCAGCTCCAGAAGCGAGATATCTAATGGCAGCTCCAGAGGAGACCCAGTGAACAGCAGCTCCAAGAGAGACGGACCTCTCAGCAGCTCAAAGAGTGTGACTTCGCTGAGCAGCTACATGAGAGAGGCTCCGCCAAGCAGCTCCAAGAGTGTGGCTTCCTGCACCTCCAAGAGTGTGGCTTCCTTCAGCTCCAAGAGTGTGGCTTCCTTCAGCTCCAAGGACAGCTTCAAGCAAGACGGTTCCCACATAAGCTCCAGAACAGGAGCAAGCTCCAGAAAGCAGGAACTAGGAAATAGCTCCAGTATAGACGCTCTGCAGGCGCATATTAGCTCCCGAAAGGAATCACTCATCAGCTCCCGACGCGAGTCGCTAGCTAGCAATTCTCAGGTAGCATCAAGGCTTAGTTCCAGAGCAGAACAGTCTCAGAGCAGCTCCCGCATGGGTTCCGAAATAAGTTCAAGGCGGGAATCCCAGGGCGGGACCTCGTTATATGGCAGCTCAGCGGCCAGCAGTTTCGACTACCACATCAACAGGGAGGAGGAGCTGGAGTGGCACAAGTCACTGCAGATGCAGAAGCAAAAGGAGCCGCGACGAGAGCAGTCAAGGGAGCCGCGACAAGAGCTGCGCCGGGAGCACAGTCATCAGGCTAGCGATCAGCGCAAGGATCCAAGTGGGACTGACCGCAGCGAAAAGGATTATAGGCAAAAGGAGCAGAGGAACAAAGATCAGAGGAAGACGGAGCTGCGCAGAGCGGAACAGCGTGAGAAGGAGCTCGAGCAGGAGCGCCAGTTTACAGCCGCTCAATTCGAAAGGGTCCTTGGTCGCCGGCGCGAGAACAAGGAGAACCTAAAACCACGATCCGCCTCCACGTCCGCATCCTCGCTGCACAGTTCAGCCAGAGCTGCAGCTGGCCCCAAAAGAGACCTCGACCTGGGCATTGATCTGCTCTGCTCTTTGGTGGAGGCGCGCAGCCTCAGTCAGGGCCAGAAAAAGTCACTGGTACGCGACATAGCCAGGCGGATCGCCTGCCTAGACCTGGCCGAGACAAGCAGCATAGCGAGCAGTCGCAGGGAGCGGGCAAGAGGTGTTCCTGTGACTGGGCCCACGCAGCGTCAAGATGTGGCCACAAATACATCGGTGACAGGATCGCAAAGCTCCTCCCTTAAGAGGCAGCCACCAACCGTGGTGAGTTTGCCCGTCCCAGCGCCGCGAAAACGCAACGCAGAGGGCACTCCTTCACCGCTGCCCAGCAGCTCCATCTCTGCTATCAGCTCGACCAGTGCCTCCAACGAGGTCATTACTCAGAAAACAAATATACCGACACGAGATGCCGCTTCCACGGATGCGGATGTGGATGCCGATCAGGATGCGGATGTGGATGTGGATGCCGAGCCAATGTCTGCCATACGGGACGCTTTGACTCCGATGACGCAGAGCGAAATCGAGTACGAGGAGCGCATGAAGGCGGGCATGGACCCCGAGCGGAGGAGTCAGCTCAACTGGATCGAGGCGGAGATTGAGCGTCTGCAGTCACTGAAGGTCTTTTTGGCGGAAATCAAGGACAATCTGCCCAACAGTTCCGTACCCATGGCACCGGACGAAGAATTGATGATTTCCAGTGACGAATTGATAATTATAGAGCCGCAGGATGGAGCTAAAAGGATGGAGAAGGTGCAGACAGAGTCGTTGCCCAAGGAAGAAGGTAGACGCAACAAATCGGACAGGCAACTGGTTAATGCTGTGCCAAGGGAGGACCAAGAGGAAGATGCAATTCCCATACCACCAGTGCGTATTGAATCGGTGCGCGTGTCCCCGAGGGTAGCCTGTAACTTGCAGGCACCATTGCCACCGGTGCCGCCGCCTCATCGCTATCCGCGCACTAAGATGGATACGCCTGTCCTAGCCTCACACAGCTCCTCCAGCGGCCGCAGCGAAAGCGTTAGCTCCTTTGTTCAGCAAAGACACCGCCGCTTCCGCGAGCATTACCAGAACCAACAGCAGCAGCAGTTGCTGCTCCTCAAGCAGCAGCAACTGCAGCGCCTGCAGCAGCAACACAAGCATCAGCAGAAGCAGCAGCAACAGCAGCAGCCGCAACTCTGCCAACACAAGCACCAGCCGCGAGTGGAGCAGCACAACGTTTGTGAGTCCCACCAGTCGGTAAGACAGATAGCTTCTATTGCACTTTTCTATTTCGCGACTATTAAGACCTCTCTTTCCTTTTCGCAGAGACACCCCAAGCAGCACAAGGGACATCACAAGCAGGGGCAACGTGAACACCAGCAATACATGCAGATGATGCAGTACGACCAGACGGCGGCATCAGGCAGTGCCTATGCCACACCCCACTCGAGTGCCAGCGACTGCTACAGCTGTGCGGACAACGAGCGAGAGAGAGCCATCTACTACCAGGTGGTGAACTCGCCTGGAGCTAGCGCCAGTTACGTCCAAGCGGAACCAGTGGCGACGGCAGCCACAACCACCACTTCGGCCTCCTCGATGATGGGCCTCAGCTCAGAGATGTCTATACCCATGGGCAGGATTAATACCGGCGAGACGACCACGACGACCACCACCACGCATCAGTATGACGATGTGGCCTGTCAGCGGAGAAAGCGACGTGTCGCCGGCGCTGGTGGTGGTGGTGGTGGTGAAGAGAGAATGCAGCGCCAGACCCTGCAAGTGCGTCCGCGCGGCATCGCCTATGTCATCCAGTTCAGCCCGTCGGGCAGCGGCGAAGTGGTGCCGGAAACGCGTTCCCTGCAGGACCAACTGCAGCTGGCCCGTCCTGAGTTCTGTGCCAAGTCCAAGCAACGGAAGGCCATCCTGAATCAAATGCAAATGATGCGCAATTTGCGCAGACGAGAAATGGACGAACTGGTAGCGGAGAACAATGGCAGCCTAGAGACACTGGACAGGCGGCTGCGCTTGCAGCTTCCGCCGCCGGCCACTAGTAAGTGTGCATCATCTATTGCCAAAAGCTACGCCATTACCGATTTGTCTGTAATTCTTTGCAGCGCGTCTGAGAATATTTACCACCAAGGAAATGAAGGCCATGACCACCAAGAAGTGCCAAAGATTGCCCGAGGTATTGGACGCGGTTAATCGCGAAGTGGAGTTGCGCAGGCGTCGTACCAATCGCCTGATGCGAGATTTATTTAACAAGGTTGGTATCAAATGTTGAATCCCTTTTGAAATGTTGTTTGTTTTAATTCCCATTTTCATTAAAATATATTCTTCCATTCTTGCAGCGCATGCGAAATCGTGTGTCCAATGGACAAGTCTCGCTAAATCACAGCAGGACAATCATCTAGGCAGGATGCCTCACAGCTAGACAATCAGCACAAAAGGACACTCCCAGTACAAAAATTTTAGGAATTTTATATTCTGTTTTCTATTTTTTATCATGAGAAATGTTAAATTTATAAGTAGTTTCTAAATTAGGTGATTAGGATAGGAGTTATATGGAAACTTTGAAATGATCTGGCACGAATAGCTTAACGTACCAAAGGGGAACTACGATTTTGGTTTATTTATTTTAATTCTGAGTTTAATTTTAACATAAAGAAATATGTTTTCAAGTCCAAACAAAATATATAAACACAGGACAGTTATCAATGGAATAAGTTGGACCAGGAATCATTTCAAATTTTCCATCATCGCAATTATATTTGTCGTATCTTCTAAATGTTAAATTACGATTGTAATTATTATTATTCAAGCCAAATTACAATGAAATAGCATAGACCTATGTTCAGGGCACACAAACAGTTTTTATAATGTTTAATATTCAAATGTTCGGAAAAAATTATTAATAAAATGATTCATATGAACAACAATACTGAGAAACATTGTTTTACTTATTCGTTTAAGGGGTTGCATCGTTAAAATGTGCAAAAATTAAAAAAAATATTTGAATACCATAAAAAGGAAAATTTGGTATGCAGAATTGTTAAGCGCCAAACAACTAACTCAGAACCGCTTTCCGAATCGAAATTAAGGCATTTTTGACAAAGCTATGCGATTTTTAAACTTTGGTTGTTCCAAAAAATATGATATAGAAAAATCCCTTACAAAAAAATTATCAAAGAAAAATATCAATTTTAGGAATCTTGCTGAGGAAAATATCATTTTTTACAGTGAAGGAGCCATTTCCGACCCTATAAATCATATATATTCTTGATCAGCATTAACAGGCGAATCGTTCTAGCCATCTCAGGAAGCAAAATAACCATTTTAAATTTTTTCTAAAAAATTTAAGGGGTTGCATCGTCAAAATGTGCAAAAATTAAAAAAAATATTTTAATACCTTAAAAAGGAAAATTTGGTATGCAGAATTGTTAAGCGCCAAACAACTAATTCAGAACCGCTTTCCGAATCGAAATTAAGGCATTTTTGACAAAGCTATGCGATTTTTAAACTTTGGTTGTTCCAAAAAATATGATATAGAAAAATCCCTTACAAAAAAATTATCAAAGAAAAATATCAATTTTAGGAATCTTGCTGAGGAAAATATCATTTTTTACAGTGAAGGAGCCATTTCCGACCCTATAAATCATATATATTCTTGATCAGCATTAACAGGCGAATCGTTCTAGCCATCTCAGGAAGCAAAAGAACCATTTTAAATTTTTTCTAAAAAATTTAAGGGGTTGCATCGTCAAAATGTGCAAAAATTAAACAAAATATTTTAATACCTTAAAAAGGGAAAATTTGGAATGCAGAATTGTTAAGCGCCAAACAACTAATTCAGAACCGCTTTCCGAATCGAAATTAAGGCATTTTTGACAAAGCTATGCGATTTTTAAACTTTGGTTGTTCCAAAAAAATGATATAGAAAAATCCCTTACAAAAAAATTATCAAAGAAAAATATCAATTTTAGGAATCTTGCTGAGGAAAATATCATTTTTTACAGTGAAGGAGCCATTTCCGACCCTATAAATCATATATATTCTTGATCAGCATTAACAGGCGAATCGTTCTAGCCATCTCAGGAAGCAAAAGAACCATTTTAAATTTTTTCTAAAAAATTTAAGGGGTTGCATCGTCAAAATGTGCAAAAATTAAAAAAAATATTTTAATACCTTAAAAAGGAAAATTTGGTATGCAGAATTGTTAAGCGCCAAACAACTAATTCAGAACCGCTTTCCGAATCGAAATTAAGGCATTTTTGACAAAGCTATGCGATTTTTAAACTTTGGTTGTTCCAAAAAATATGATATAGAAAAATCCCTTACAAAAAATTATCAAAGAAAAATATCAATTTTAGGAATCTTGCTGAGGAAAATATCATTTTTTACAGTGAAGGAGCCATTTCCGACCCTATAAATCATATATATTCTTGATCAGCATTAACAGGCGAATCGTTCTAGCCATCTCAGGAAGCAAAAGAACCATTTTAAATTTTTTCTAAAAAATTTAAGGGGTTGCATCGTCAAAATGTGCAAAAATTAAAAAAAATATTTTAATACCTTAAAAAGGAAAATTTGGTATGCAGAATTGTTAAGCGCCAAACAACTAATTCAGAACCGCTTTCCGAATCGAAATTAAGGCATTTTTGACAAAGCTATGCGATTTTTAAACTTTGGTTGTTCCAAAAAATATGATATAGAAAAATCCCTTACAAAAAAATTATCAAAGAAAAATATCAATTTTAGGAATCTTGCTGAGGAAAATATCATTTTTTACAGTGAAGGAGCCATTTCCGACCCTATAAATCATATATATTCTTGATCAGCATTAACAGGCGAATCGTTCTAGCCATCTCAGGAAGCAAAATAACCATTTTAAATTTTTTCTAAAAAATTTAAGGGGTTGCATCGTCAAAATGTGCAAAAATTAAAAAAAATATTTTAATACCTTAAAAAGGAAAATTTGGTATGCAGAATTGTTAAGCGCCAAACAACTAATTCAGAACCGCTTTCCGAATCGAAATTAAGGCATTTTTGACAAAGCTATGCGATTTTTAAACTTTGGTTGTTCCAAAAAATATGATATAGAAAAATCCCTTACAAAAAAATTATCAAAGAAAAATATCAATTTTAGGAATCTTGCTGAGGAAAATATCATTTTTTACAGTGAAGGAGCCATTTCCGACCCTATAAATCATATATATTCTTGATCAGCATTAACAGGCGAATCGTTCTAGCCATCTCAGGAAGCAAAAGAACCATTTTAAATTTTTTCTAAAAAATTTAAGGGGTTGCATCGTCAAAATGTGCAAAAATTAAAAAAATATTTTAATACCTTAAAAAGGAAAATTTGGTATGCAGAATTGTTAAGCGCCAAACAACTAATTCAGAACCGCTTTCCGAATCGAAATTAAGGCATTTTTGACAAAGCTATGCGATTTTTAAACTTTGGTTGTTCCAAAAAATATGATATAGAAAAATCCCTTACAAAAAAATTATCAAAGAAAAATATCAATTTTAGGAATCTTGCTGAGGAAAATATCATTTTTTACAGTGAAGGAGCCATTTCCGACCCTATAAATCATATATATTCTTGATCAGCATTAACAGGCGAATCGTTCTAGCCATCTCAGGAAGCAAAATAACCATTTTAAATTTTTTCTAAAAAATTTAAGGGGTTGCATCGTCAAAATGTGCAAAAATTAAAAAAAATATTTTAATACCTTAAAAAGGAAAATTTGGTATGCAGAATTGTTAAGCGCCAAACAACTAATTCAGAACCGCTTTCCGAATCGAAATTAAGGCATTTTTGACAAAGCTATGCGATTTTTAAACTTTGGTTGTTCCAAAAAATATGATATAGAAAAATCCCTTACAAAAAAATTATCAAAGAAAAATATCAATTTTAGGAATCTTGCTGAGGAAAATATCATTTTTTACAGTGAAGGAGCCATTTCCGACCCTATAAATCATATATATTCTTGATCAGCATTAACAGGCGAATCGTTCTAGCCATCTCAGGAAGCAAAAGAACCATTTTAAATTTTTTCTAAAAATTTAAGGGGTTGCATCGTCAAAATGTGCAAAAATTAAAAAAATATTTTAATACCTTAAAAAGGGAAAATTTGGAATGCAGAATTGTTAAGCGCCAAACAACTAATTCAGAACCGCTTTCCGAATCGAAATTAAGGCATTTTTGACAAAGCTATGCGATTTTTAAACTTTGGTTGTTCCAAAAAAATGATATAGAAAAATCCCTTACAAAAAAATTATCAAAGAAAAATATCAATTTTAGGAATTTGCTGAGGAAAATATCATTTTTTACAGTGAAGGAGCCATTTCCGACCCTATAAATCATATATATTCTTGATCAGCATTAACAGGCGAATCGTTCTAGCCATCTCAGGAAGCAAAAGAACCATTTTAAATTTTTTCTAAAAAATTTAAGGGGTTGCATCGTCAAAATGTGCAAAAATTAAAAAAATATTTTAATACCTTAAAAAGGAAAATTTGGTATGCAGAATTGTTAAGCGCCAAACAACTAATTCAGAACCGCTTTCCGAATCGAAATTAAGGCATTTTTGACAAAGCTATGCGATTTTTAAACTTTGGTTGTTCCAAAAATATGATATAGAAAAATCCCTTACAAAAAATTATCAAAGAAAAATATCAATTTTAGGAATCTTGCTGAGGAAAATATATTTTTTACAGTGAAGGAGCCATTTCCGACCCTATAAATCATATATATTCTTGATCAGCATTAACAGGCGAATCGTTCTAGCCATCTCAGGAAGCAAAAGAACCATTTTAAATTTTTTCTAAAAAATTTAAGGGGTTGCATCGTCAAAATGTGCAAAAATTAAAAAAATATTTTAATACCTTAAAAAGGAAAATTTGGTATGCAGAATTGTTAAGCGCCAAACAACTAATTCAGAACCGCTTTCCGAATCGAAATTAAGGCATTTTTGACAAAGCTATGCGATTTTTAAACTTTGGTTGTTCCAAAAAATATGATATAGAAAAATCCCTTACAAAAAAATTATCAAAGAAAAATATCAATTTTAGGAATCTTGCTGAGGAAAATATCATTTTTTACAGTGAAGGAGCTATTTCCGACCCTATAAATCATATATATTCTTGATCAGCATTAACAGGCGAATCGTTCTAGCCATCTCAGGAAGCAAAAGAACCATTTTAAATTTTTTCTAAAAAATTTAAGGGGTTGCATCGTCAAAATGTGCAAAAATTAAACAAAATATTTTAATACCTTAAAAAGGAAAATTTGGTATGCAGAATTGTTAAGCGCCAAACAACTAATTCAGAACCGCTTTCCGAATCGAAATTAAGGCATTTTTGACAAAGCTATGCGATTTTTAAACTTTGGTTGTTCCAAAAAATATGATATAGAAAAATCCCTTACAAAAAATTATCAAAGAAAAATATCAATTTTAGGAATCTTGCTGAGGAAAATATCATTTTTTACAGTGAAGGAGCCATTTCCGACCCTATAAATCATATATATTCTTGATCAGCATTAACAGGCGAATCGTTCTAGCCATCTCAGGAAGCAAAAGAACCATTTTAAATTTTTTCTAAAAAATTTAAGGGGTTGCATCGTCAAAATGTGCAAAAATTAAAAAAAATATTTTAATACCTTAAAAAGGAAAATTTGGTATGCAGAATTGTTAAGCGCCAAACAACTAATTCAGAACCGCTTTCCGAATCGAAATTAAGGCATTTTTGACAAAGCTATGCGATTTTTAAACTTTGGTTGTTCCAAAAAATATGATATAGAAAAATCCCTTACAAAAAATTATCAAAGAAAAATATCAATTTTAGGAATCTTGCTGAGGAAAATATATTTTTTACAGTGAAGGAGCCATTTCCGACCCTATAAATCATATATAT